CAACAACAACAAAAAAAACGTATATATGCCGAAAGATGATACTGCGAGTACCAAGCATAGAGGTAATATTTATATATAATGTAAACCTGACTGGTCAAATCGTACAGGAAGAATGGGGATATCATGCCGTGACTCGTTATCGCTTCTACCATAGCGCAACCTAAACATAAATGTTATACGAAGGAGAGAGTAGCATCTCTAGAACCCAAGATGCTGCCCAATAGCATGCACTGAGCGTCATGCTCCAACACCAAATACATTGGTAGCTCAGAACTCGCCTTCACCACCACCGCCGACTACACCAGCAGTCCATAATCCGACAAGACCCCACCAGCTCACCTTCCATCCTCTCCATAGGCCTCCCACTCCTTGTCCCTTTTTGTATACGGTCTCGCCAATCTTTGCCTGCTTGCCTTTCTTGCTCCTAGTTGAGGCGGCCTTGACTGGGACCGGGACTGCATGCGATCCTTCCTCAGCGACAATAGTATACATGGTGCCGACGACACCGTTATAGGATCCTGGCTGTACAATAGTATCCAAGGTGCCCGTCTTTTCGAGAGCCCGGATATAAGCTGGTTGTGTGAAAATGGAGGCCTGACCACGGCGAAGAACTGTCTCTAGCGGTAGCTTCACAAACAAGGAAGCACACGAAGTGCAGAACTTGGCCACTGAGAAGGTGGTCGGTGAGAGTTCCTTATCTATAAGGAATTGAGAACGTAGAACAAGAGGTGTGGATAGAGTAAGGACCGGATGGACCAGCGAGTGGAGGATTGTCGGTGCAATAAGTGAGGATGGGCACAGCCATGAAGGAAGCGCGCGCAGTGTCGACATGGTTCGTCGTCGCCCGCTACTGGTAGACGACAAGACAAGTCTCGTGCGAACGATATCCAAAGGAGCCAGTGCGAGGCCAGTGGCGACGGCCGCGGCGGCCGCGACGCACAGCGACGCCCAGGGATATGGAGATGCAATGTCGACAAGCTTGTCCACATCATCCTTGACACCCAGATCTGGTACGTTGAAGAGTGCACTGAGAAGGCTTCGCGACCAGTTCTCCATCAGAGACTGCAGCACCGTGTAGAGAAAGGTTGCATTTGATCCCTTCCAGACACCCCAGGCACTTTCTTTGGACCATAGCTGTGCTATCACCTCTAATATCGAATCGGGCCGCTTGATGTTGAGTTGATGTGGTGGCAGCTCGGGTGCCCCAGCCGGCTTGGGCACATCCGTCGAGCTCATCGTCCGTTTCTGAGACCGGCTTGACGGAGTCGGTGTTTGGTAAGGTGCATTGGAAGTAAAATACGAGGGTTCGTCATCCGAGTCTGACTCTGGGTACTATTCAGGCACAATTAGAACATTGGGAGCCCGCGACAAATGCCATCTCACCTACCTGATCATACAATGATTCCCGTGGGCTTGTTATCTTTGGTCGAGAAGGTTGTAATGAAGAAACACCCGTCTCTGATAGCTCGAGGTCATCCTGCGTTCTGACTTGCAACACAGTCTTGGCGACCTCGAAGGGTTGGGCCATCAAGACACTCGTGTACTTCCATAGCAGCTCGTCGATGAGGTCCTTGACGCTCTGTATCGTTGAAGGCGACGGGTCGTTGACATAGTCCCTGTAGTCCAGATCTGGGAAGATGTCACGCGCTCTCGACGCGTACTTTGCGCTGCCGGCGCCAGAGGTTGCATTTGCATGTGAGAAAGGGTTCGGCTGCCCGGGCAATGACTCGGTTTGGTCTCCGATCGTGGGTGGAATATAGTACGGACGCAGCGGGTTGACGCCGCCTCTTGTAGATGAAGCCATATTGATGCTGCTCCTACCTGCCGTGATACGCCGTGATCATGCTGCAGTTGTTAAAATGGTGGGAGCAGACGGCAAAAAGATCAATTCGGGGTCGTGTTTTCGCCAGTGGTCAGCCCAGATTCTAGCAAAAAGCTCCTCAGTGGAGGCCATTTGCATGACGAAAATCAATGCGACCAATTTGCATTGATCCCTGTAATGAAAACCTGCGGTACTCGCCGCTAAACAACGACACCGGCGTTTTAGCGGAGACCCAAGCCACGACAACAAGCAGGTCCAGCGCGTCCAACCACTAAAAAACATGCAATTTTGGGTGACACGGCACCAGCCACAGCGAGCGCAAACTGCTTCCCTCAAGCTCCCAATCATCGGACCTCGGGGGCCCTTTCGGGGCGGCTTTTGGGCGGGCTAAGCCGTGATAGAGCTTTTGTTGGAACTTTTTTTTTTCAGTGTTTTGCAGCAGCATCATCACGGCGCAATCTAAGCAACATAGTAACAGCCTTGTTGCGCTTCTTGTTGGTTGCTTCACTTGCCTGTGCTGACCAATTACCTCACAAGAAATCGATTGTTGGTCACGTAGTCCTACAAACTGTTGCTTTGCGTTGCGAGCTCTGGAAATACAGGCAGGATACCAGGGTTTCTGTGTCACATCTTACACACGCCGACTCCAGAGTATAAAGACCGCTGCCAGGCTCGCTATCTGTTCCGGAACCTGCGCAAACGCCTTCAACTTACTCTCCGGTGGTTACGCCTATAACAAATCCGTTCACACAGTCGATATGGCGGCTTCGAGATTTATGGCGAGAAGTCTAAGGCAGATGAGCAGTGCCTTGCCACACATTAACAGCAAACTCTCACCACAAGCCGTCTCGCGAAGCACACGGTTATTAGATGCCCAGACCCGCACCTTTACCACTTCTCCCAAACGACTCCATGGCCACGTAACGCCTCCAAAGGCCGGCGAAGAGTGAGTCAATCATCTTGCCACATCATTCATGGGCCGGCAAACTAACTTTGTCGTCCTTACTAGGCTGTATATTACATTCATCGACAAGGAGAACCGCGAACACAAGATTGCAGTGAGCAAAGGTGACAACCTCTTGGATATAGCTCAAGCACACGACTTGGAGATGGAGGGAGCGTGTGGAGGATCCTGTGCTTGCAGTACGTGCCACGTTATCGTGCTGGATCAAGATCTCTACGACAAGATGCCCGAGCCCGAAGATGACGAAAATGACATGCTGGATCTTGCTTTTGGCTTGACAGAGACAAGCCGGCTTGGGTGCCAGGTCACTATGACCAAGGAGCTGGATGGCTTGAAGGTGAAGCTACCGAGTATGACGCGGAATCTCCAGGCTAGCGACTTCAACTCGTAGCCGATGTAGCCGACGAAGAAATGAGGATACACAATGCAATCACTCATGAGTGTACGATTTTATAATGGCCAGCTGCATCATGACCACGAGGTGGACGCCATCAAGAAAGACTTGTCAGACGGCAAGACTGAGCACTGCCTTTGCAGTGTTATGTATATTTAGAATATCACAACAGAAAGGACAAATATGAGCGATAGACTAGTCTCCGCATAATCAGGTCTCAAATCACTATCAAGACCCAATTGATTTTGCGCCATTCTTGTACATGGCGATTTCAATATCATGCCTCCTCGATCCCGCCCTTCTTTAGCTTTCCGCCGCCGTTGGCAATCAGGTCCAAGAATCCTTTCCGGCTCATCTCGCTAACCTTCTCCTTCCTACCTTCTACACCAGTAAAGCCATCTTTTCTAGCTTGTGCTTCAGCATCCATACCTGCTTGTTGTGCTCGCAAGAAGGCATTAAAAACCTCCTTTACACCCCTCGTCGCGGCTCTCCTAAGTTGTTTCTCCTTCTCCCTGATCTCTCCGGTGCTGACTTGGGGTTCGCCCGTGGTGTTGTCTCCCGACCCAGCAATCACATCCTTGACACGCCCCTTCTCCTTTGCGGCCAGCTTTTGCGCCCGCATTTGTTTGCGCGCCTTGGCTTCAAGCGCGGCATCAATGATCTCTTTGGATGCTTTCTGCGCATCGACTGATCGAGACAGGACAGGATCGGACCGGCGGGCAGTGGAGAGTTTGGTTCCCAAAATCTTCTGTAGTGAAGTTGCAAAGGCGGCCGGGTCGTTGCGTTTAGATTTCGACTTTCTGTTACCTCCCAATACTGACTCGTCGCCATTGTCTGAACCTTCTAAGTCAAAAGAGTCTCCGTCATCGTCCTCGTCGTCCTCGTCCGAGTTGCCATTATTCCCCTCACCCTCTGCGTCGTCATCGCTCGAAGAAGGCGCATCCTGTGCCAGTTTTCGTTTGCTTGCCTTTGGCAGGCTCTTCTTGGGCCTTCCCAGTTTGTCTCGTGCCGAATCCTCGTTTTCGGATGCTGAATCTGATTGAGAGTCGGCGTCAGAGCCTGAGAGGTCGCCAGCATCATCGACCACAACATCGAGCCCTCCTTCATCGTCAGAATCCATCAGGTTCACTGGCTTGAACGACGACTCGTCTTCCGATTCGCTTTGATAGACGGGCTGCTTCTTCTGCTTCTTGTTTGGCCTGGAGGCTTTCGATCGCGTCGAAGAATCATGATGTGAGCGTTTCTTGGTTGACTTCAAGGGAGCCATGGCGGCGGTAGAATCGCGTGACCGAAATCTGTGTGGTGTTTGTGTTTATGAGCGATTCTGCTGGTAGACGATGTTTGTTGGGTTGTTTGCGAATTCTCCAAAAATTTCATGGTCGAGGGGCCGATAAGCAGGGTGCCGGGATTCTTATCAGCAAAGTGCGCTATGTACCTAGTCCTGACTAGTATCTAAATGTACTATGTATTAGGCCAATTGAAGATTGATGCTCCGATTTACACGCAGTACTTCTCTGTACTGTGTACGTACAGAATACTCCGTTACACAAACATCTCGCAAGGTCCAGACTTGCGGACTCCTGGTCTAGCATGTGGCCTTGCATCGAATTGTACACTGTAAAGGTATCGTGTGCACATTACAAGGTGTGCCTGGCATATACAGTAGATGAAATTGGTTCACACACTGCCTTTGCGGCTATTGACCCCAGATTGCGGGAGAGCTCACTGCGATTCCACTGAGCCGAATTTCGACTCTTGGACTCCACCAGCCCGCCGACAAGCGAGGTTGGGCAAGAGGGGAATGTCGTACAATGCACAAAAAGCACATATATGTACGAACGTACTCTGTAGGAACGAATAGAAACGCGCTGCATGTTTGTCTGTGTTTTGTCCAAGTCAATCAGGAATCTGCATCCACACGTCCTAGACAATCGTGAATCAACGCTATCCCTTACTCACGCCAAGCAATTCCATCCGGTATCACTGCGAGATCAACTCACAGGAGCGCATCGCGGACTCCGTCTGGTAGTCAAGGTACAAGACTGCGAACATGTCTCCAGCTTTGGTTGCTCGGGCGCTTTCGGGTTTCCGGTCTACCCTCAGAACACCTAGAGGCGGCAATGGGCTGCAACGTGTAACAGTCATCAATCGCACAACTCCATCATTCATGAGATTGAGTACGGCTGGAACACCTCAGGATACGACCCCTCAACGCCGTCCTTCTAGCACAGACAGAAGCCAGAACAAAGCCGATACACTGGCCCTACCAGGCAACGGGGGGCGGATCCGCAAATACAGCAGCATAATCAAAGATCCAGACGCCTGGTCGGTGGTCTCGGGGCTTGAGTCTAATTCACCTATCACGCTTTCAAACCCGGCAAGACCCAAGCCCCTTGTCCTCAATCTTCACGCTCTCCGGGATGCTTGCGCATGCGATAAGTGTGTGGATCCCCATTCAGGCCAGAAGAATTTTGGCACCACAGATATCCCTGAGGAGCTATCAGTGCTGAGCTCTAGGCGATTGGAGGATGCCTCTCTGGAGGTGGTGTGGGAAAACGATTTCATCACGTCCGAACACCACAGATCCGTCTTTCCTGCCGAGCAGGTCAGAGAATGGGGTTTTCCCCAAACTGCCGTGTCTCACAAACGCACCTTGCCACACGCTCGGCTGTGGGATAGTGAAAGTTTTGCCGCCACTCCTTCAAGAGTTCAATACGACGATTGGATGTCGGACGGCAGCAGATACCACGAAGCAGTGGCACAGCTTCACAATTACGGCCTTGTTTTCATTGATGGCGTTCCCAAGTCTGAGGAGTCTGTAGTTGGCATTGCTACGCGGATTGGGCACGTGATGGAAACCTTTTATGGACGAACTTGGGATGTCCGCTCCAAGCCACAAGCCGAAAACGTTGCCTACACAAACACTTTCTTGGGCCTTCATCAAGATCTCCTTTACACTGCTGATCCTCCCCGTGTACAATTTCTTCATTGTCTTGAGAACTCTTGCGAAGGCGGCGAATCCATATTCAGTGACTCGCTCCGTGCAGCCAAGCTAATGGAGCTCGGTCCCAGCCATCTGTTTGACGCTCTGCAAAAGAGAAAGCTTGTTTACCATTACAACAAAGACGGCCATTTCTACGAGAAACGTCGCCCAGTCTTGGATCGATTTGGCTACAAGGTGTACTGGAGCCCCCCATTTCAATCACCCCATCAAAGTATGGGTGGACATGAATTCATCACCACATGGGTCGAGGCTGCCAAGATGTTTCGGCAATTCTTGGAGGATGAAAAGTGGTTATACGAACATAAACTCGAGCCGGGCCAGTGCGTGATCTTTGACAACTTAAGAGTAATGCACGGGAGGCGGCGATTCGACACCAGTGCCGGTAGTCGATGGCTGAAGGGGACATATGTCTCCAGTGATGAGTGGAAGAGCAAGAGGATGACTCTCGCCAAGGAGATTACGGAAGTCAATGGTGAAAACAATCCGACTCCAAGGAAGCAAGCCAGGAGGCTTAAGGCCAAACATCATATCTGAGCATCCAGCTACCTGGCACATGTTAAACCTGATATGGGCAGCACTTGTCGACGGGAACGACAAACTACTGCAGTAGCCACAACAATAGAAGCCGAATTTGCTGCACAACAGCTCCTGGATAGACCGTTCTTTCAAATCGGGGCTGTTACTATTCCCCGCTGCATGTTTTTCAAAACACAAGTGCCTACCTGTATTGAAACTTTGCTTTCGAATCGGTGCTCTTTTTTTTTTCCCCTACACGATTGTAGTTCAGAGCACCTGTACATTCATCAAAAGATACTACCAACCAGCAAGTATGCAAAGCCATGGCTAGGTACTCTTGCATACCCTATGCTTTATGGGGACGACTGGAAGCTATTCAAAAACTCTCGTTCGCTAAGAAAAGCTACTCTAGAGAGGCATCAGCTCTATGAGAATTGAAGGTATCAGTCAACCGCTTCCGCGACCGTCATTCTTTCCTCAACCGTCTCCAAGCACCTCTTGAACCGACAAACCTACGGGAAACCCAAAACCACGACTATGGACAAGAGAGTTCGTGAGTGTCGCTTGAGTTGCTTCCATATCAATTCCATATAGTCTTTCCCCAAGCTCGCGGCTGGTATCCCCCAGCTCAGCGATGATGCTTGTCGAGGTTGCATATTCGATAACCATTCGTTGCAATGGTGCTCAAGGGCAGACACCATCCACTGACGAGGATAATGAAGATGCGCCTTCGACATTTAGAAACACGCACAGATTTATAATATTGTCTTGCTCAACAATGTTAACAAATAAATGTGCGATCCTGTTCCTCGGCAATCCTTTTCCTCGCATCTTTCCGCTCTGAATGCGATCGAGAAGCCACAGGCCTTCGCCAGGCACAAGCCGTGGTTCTGTAGTGCGAGGAACACAATTTGCACAACCGAGGCAGTCGCTGAACACAATGCACTCGCTAACCATTTTTTCGATTTACGTGCGAGATGACTGAAACAAAAGTCGATAAAATTTTCCACCACAATATACCCCGGTCCCGTATAAGATGTAAATTCGGAATTGGAGGGATGCGCAAGATGGTCGGGTTTGTTCTCAAAAGACGCTACTGTCGGGCGTATTGGTTTGCCTACATCGTCGTCTTTTGGTTGGCTGCGCCAGGTATCAACCTTGAAGTTTGCAAACGGCTCGTCGGCAAGCTCTAGGACGTGAGTAGATGCGTCAAAGAACGCGCGGGACAAAATCAATGTTCCGGTAGAACGAAGTTTGACACAAGAGCTAAGAATGTGATAGATCAAGAAAGATATTCACATGATATTTAGCGTCTTGAATTTCTCCTTGCACCACGCAGCATTTCTGATAAGACAAGAAATAATGATTTTTTGCGCTTTCCAAGGCCGTAACAATAAGTAGACACGATCCTTATTATTATCAGAAAAGAAAACTGGGTCAAGAAACCAAGTCTTTGGCAGATACGAGATGAAACATTTTGCATCAATGGCCACATGCAAGGGATGGAGCAAACAGATCAGATGAACCTGGCCGTAAAGTACAGTGATACTGGCATTGTAATTGCATACTCTGGGTAAAAGCGCGTCACACTCTTACTATAACACTAGTTGCACTACAGTGAGGTACTAGGTATCAGTTGGTATACTCTTGATCGTGGCGACCTCAAGTCTCGGGCATATCCTCTTTATTCGCTCTAGGCACACTGATAGTAATAGTCGCTCAGTACGGTACACGTTCCTTGCTGTAAATGGTTAGATTGAATCTTCAGAAAACAGCAATGTGAGTGACTTACGTAGCAATTTGTACATCCCGTGTAATCAATGCCTCCACATTGACCATACAGTGCACTGTCAATTCAAAGTCAGCGGTTATTCTCTCGGAATAATTCAAATGGATGTCGGGTAGAAATGAGGGCCAAGCGTACACAGTACATCCATCGGAGCCGCCGCCAGTCGATGAAGGAAGAGTCACACTTGTCGCGGTGCCTGATGCTCCCGCCCCAGCGGTACACGTCGTCTCACAGCCCTCACACGCAGCTCCAGCGCTCTTTGTCGATCCGCCAGAATAGACTGTTGGACCAGGTGCAATATAAGTCGTCATGGCAGCGTGAATATCCACCAAAATACCTGGGTCGCTGGCTGCGTAGGCGCCGGGGAAGCTGATGGTAGATGGGGAAGCAGATCCCGACCCAGTAATGGTGAGCTGTATACACGACATGTAAAACTGTGCTCCACCACTGCTTGAAGCTGTATGGAGTGCCAAAGCCTCGGCTCTGAGTAGATAGTCGCCGGCTTTGATGTCTGTAGGAATCTTCACATCTAGTCTGCCGCAGCATGTATTAATGTCCTTTGTGCCCCAGTAATCATCATCGCCGGACGAGCCACTCGGGTTCTTGGCCCAGGTATCTGCGAAGATCTTGAACCAGCCGTCAGATCCATCGGCCGTGGAAGAGTCGTCCACAGCGCTGAGGTATGCTTGCACAGGGCCATAGTGAGCTCCACCGATTGCTTCCGTGGTACAGGTACGATCACCGGGTTGCTAATGTGTGTCAGCATTATGAAACGTTTCGAGAGAAGTTCTCGTGCTCCCACCTGGTGAATTTCGATGGTTACTGTATCTCCAGCTGCGACAGCACACTTGTAGGATACCGGCGAGGTCCCTGCATTGCAGCGGATATCGTTGGACGTGACGTCCGTAACTGGACTGTTGGATAGCGGCAACCTAATGCACTGAGCACCATAGTCCACACCATTGATCCAAAAGTCTTGGAAAGTGGCGTGGGCAGCAACCTGTTGGGCTGCAAGTGCAGCAATGGCAACGAGCACAGATTGCATCTTGAAGAAATGGTATATGCAGAGTAGGTGAAGAAACAACCTGGAGCTGATGAAGCGTGGATAGACTGTGCTGATCATACATATAATTTTGCCCCTTTGAGTTGTTATAATAACGACTCACGGCATGGCCATTTCGGAACCTGCTGCCTGCATGCCGCAGTCTCGAGAACATCTGTTGACTTGTCTTGGCAAACGGTTGCACTACATCCGTGGTGAAGGGTCAGCCCCCCCGGACGACTAGTCAGCATGATTCGATGTTAACCAGGTTTGAACGCACACTTCAACAAATCATATACAAACAAAACATTGGGCCATGAGTGTGATTGGTGGAATAGTCGTCAGTATATTGTGGGGATAATATATCGCGGCTCAGCTCAATTTGGAACCGTCCTTGGCATCGCCTGTTTGGGCAAGGCGACCATCAATTGCAACCTTCATGTGCCGAGAATGAAACAAAACAGAGCTCTTGAATTATGACAGGTAAGCTGAGGCTTGCCATCCGAGTGTTATTAATATTGCAAATACAATCTCGCTATGCCTCCGAGACCGAGAACCGATATATTCAGAATGGTGTATACCGCAAGAACCTTGTGGGGATGTCGCTACCAACCAACGCCTTTTCCCAAGTATTTTGTTGCCAGAAGTAAAGGTTAATAGAAAATTAGAATTATATACAGTATGTTCACTACATTGCCACAAATATGCCGGCCATGCCGGCAGCAATGCCAGCCATTGCTATGCCGGTGCATCTTGGAGCTGGTGCTGCTGCGACGGTACGATTCGGTGTCGTAGCAGTGGCGAGTGCTTGTATGCTCGATACAGCGCTGTGCCAAGCACTGTTGTAGTCCAGGACCTCGGTTTGTAAGGCAGCAGGAACTTGATCTTGGTACCAGGCATTTGTGGTGATGGCACCCCAGCCCCAAGCAGAACTCTCCACCGAGGCTGACACTTGGTTACCCGCCTTGTCAGCGGCACTCTGAATGGCCGAGATGATGGATTGGTAGTCTGATTGTTGAATGAATGACCGATCGACACTGTATATGGCCGAAGCCAGCATTGTATAGTACTCTCCCGTTGCCCAGGTGGGCTGAGGTGCACCGGTTGGAAACGCATACGAAAGGTAGGAACTTGCGTCTGTCGATATAGGAAGTGTCGTTGTCGTAGGCGTCGTTGGGCTTGTTGTAGCAGTAGTGATGGACGATGTAGTGGAAGTCGTACTGAATGTGCTTGCACTGCTAGTTGTGCTGCTTATAGTAGTGACGCTGTCCGTATCGATGGAGCTGCTGGCCACTACGGAACTGAACGTGGTACTACTAGTTCCAGATATTGTCTCTGTGCTAGTAGTTGCATATGAAGTAATTATCAAGGAGGTATCGCCATTAGCGTCCGTTGAGGTTATTGTAGATGTAATCTCCGTGACTGCCGTTGCTGTAAATGTTGACGAGCCGGCATAGGCAGTTTCGAGTGAAAGGCTTGTCGACGTATCCGAATCCGTTGCACCCGTTCCTTCGCTAGCACTCGATGTTGTCGATTGAGCCACCGTGGCTGATATGCCACACAGCACCGAGGCATACAAGTATACAGCCTTCATTGTGAAATTGATGCGTTGGCGAGAGATGAAAGATTAAAACTGAAGAATCGCTCGAGTGGCCGAAATATGGGTCTGCGGCGTATTGAAAAAGAAAGACAAATGCTCTGGCTGAGGTCATGTCCATGCACGTCGTTTATATCATAAAGTATAATGCCCTTTGCCCTTTTCCCTGCCGGCCTTGTGATGGGGATCCGGATTATGGCGGTTTGAAGCCACTACTCCTCTTGCGCTTGTCGCATTGGTTACTATGTCCAATCAGACTCGACTACCGCACCCAATAGAGCAACTGCCAGCCGCAAGGGATGGAAAATTTGGGGGTTAACGGATCAAAGCTTAGGTCGGAAGGGGGTTAGTGATTGCTGCGATGCGGAAGCACGGGTTGCGTTTACTTTTGTCGAAACGTGCCGGTGCGCAAGTAATCTGCACTAACAGTTGAACAGACTGGGTTTCAGTTGAGGCTTGGGTAAAGATGACACAAATCGTGCTTACTTGCAAGCCCGAGCAGTGCCGCCTTTTTGCAGATGGGGTAGTATGTAACTCGGGTCCCAATTTGCAGTCTATTCCAGTCATCTATAATGCTATATGTGAGGAGCCGGGTATTCCTGGGTATCTAGTGTTGAACAGCTCAGATTTTGTGGTGATTTACTTGGAGCCCATAGACTATTTCAAGATACCACTAAAGGGGAACGGTATCATTAACACAAAGTTGCTTGGGCATTTTGTGCAAACACATCATCCCGGAGAGCGGAGTGCAATGCCAGAGAACTTTGTCTAATGCTGTCATGATATATTTTTGGTAAGGAGTTCTGATTTTAGATTGAACCTTGTTTGGACTCACCAACTAGACAGGTGCTGCAGTTGCCATAAGCTTTGTCGATGGCGGCAGCGGCCCTAATCCCCGGCCGACCAGCCTTCAGAGTAGAATCACATTACCTGGATTGTTCCCGAAAGAGCATCGAGCAGTTTGACGGCCTTGCTGAGCTTAGTTCAAGGACTTGAAGAAAAGGTTCATGTATGTTCTTGATCTGCTGGTCAGCTCCCACCTTCTGCAGGTAGATAGGCTTTAGTAGGCTGTAGGCACGTACGGAAGTACCCTTGATAATCGTTCATTCCGAGCACGCCGTTGACATGTGGCTTGGGACGTTATGAAAATAGAACTGAGGTATCACTGCGGTTTTCTGGTTTGCCACGTTGTATAATCCTCGCTATAATGCTTGAGTAGGTATCTAAAAAATTTTCAATATTAAAAAACAGTAGGTGATGACACTCGAAGGTATCTAATGTTGTGCGTTCTTTGTTTCTTTTCTTCTAAGGGGTGGGGGGTTTGAAAGTATATAATCCAGGCCCTGAATATTATTCATTCAGCACTTGCTTGCGTGACTATGGTTTTTAATGTCTCGACGATGCAATAATGCTGTGGCTGGTTATTGACGTATGCTTATCGCGGAACCTAGGATTAGGTTGCAAGGCGCAGGCGCAGGAAAAATCCCCGAAACATTTAAAAGGAGAAATGCACTGCGATGATTTTCGAAGGCTTAGGATGAATTCGCAAAGCAGTGATCGATGGCGAGTAATTATTTGGTTTTGCAATTTTTTATTTAGCATAAATAATAGAAATAAGCGTAAATAATACTTATTACCTAGGTGTTTTGTGGAGTAAACATATTAATTAGGCAGGTTTAATATTTGAAATTTAATAAGAAAGAAATTATCGCCAGCTCCGCGCAATTAAATTAAATAACAGGCTGCCAATATCTTTATTTCTTGAGCAGCTGTAATATACTACTTACTACCTTGGAATTAAAATGCACCCGTATTTTGCGACTTAGCGATATGCTGTAATTGGTTATGGTGGCGGCAGTGCGGCTTATAGTGGCTCGGGCGGCTCAGCTGCATCAACCGTTTCAGACAACTAGAAAGGGAACAATATGCGACAGACTCACGACAAGAGATGTTTTCCACCCTGGTCAAATACCCAAGCACGATAATCCTGTGCGCCCACCACTTTTTTTTGAATGCAATTTTGCTAAAGAAGATCATGGAGATCATCTTATGCTTTATTGCGTTTCCTATGCCTCCCTCTCCTTGAAACAATGCCCTTTAGCAGCAAGGAGGTTGACTAATGGATTTGCTTTATGAAAATCATCCCAATCTCTTCAGTCAATCTGATTGTTTGTTTGACGATTGAATTTGAGATGCTGAATATGCACGCTTATTCGGTAGGCATGGCGATAAATCGAACCGGATGATTATTCCCCGTCATGGAAACAAATTAGCTGAAGATGCTTTTCATCCCTTTTACGGCCTCGCAAAGCCGCTGAGACTGCATCCCTACATAGTCATCGCTCTTTTACATGCGCATCGTTCCGGAGTAATGCCTATAACCACGTCTGCAACATTCCTTTCGGTGGAGGATCTCGTAACACTCTGCCAAGTCCGAATTTAAAAGACAAATTCGTTTATATACGTAGATCCTGTAGGCTCAAGTCAAACTTTAAGGATGATTGGTTTTTATCCCCCTTATTCGTCTGAAGGAATAAATGTCCAAACGATTGACAAAGATCTCCCGTCCTAAAAAATCTTCCCGCGGTATAATCCACAGCTTATACTACATCGAAACACCGTGCAATCCTTGCTGCATGAGGCACACTGCAAAGTCCGGGGTTGACGGATCTTCACAGACAGGCGTCATCTCAAACATTGGCGTAACGGATGCCACTAACTCAGCCTCACGGGTTTATGGTCACAGGAATCAAGGGGCCGGCAGCTTTAAAATGGACAGCAAGTGGCAATTCGTAGAATATAAAATCACTTTGATGGTCTCTCGCCTTTACACGAATGCAGAGACAAACGATCCGGCATCAATCAACATAATCAATTTCCCTTTTATACACAACTCAACGTTTAATCATTTATATTTCACGTGCTTTTTTTAAATAACAAATTTGTGAAAATGGTCAGAATTGCTTACTCTGTGGCGTTGTACTGTAAGTATTCTCCACCAACAATCAACTCTATTCCGTCTTACAAGTGGTACAGTTGCGGTCTCGGTCCTGGCCAGTCCAGTGACACCTGACCCCGCGGGCGTCAAGAATATCGGAAACGCTGCCGGCCAGCAGTTCATTGGCGGCGAGTGCCTGAGCTCGGCGGATTGCGCCTCTACGTGCTGCGCTTTCAACGACAATGGCGGAGGCGTCTGTTCGGGAGTTGGAGCCCAATTCCAGGTAGGTGCCGACTGGGAACATGTAGCAATTTTGTCAAAGTTCATGCCTCGCGGAATTTTTCTTCACCCCAACATATCTGGGATACTTGCTTCGAATGGAATACTAACGTTGATGCTCAACAGGCCGGAAAGTCAGGCTGTGGGTTCGGAGATGGCGGTGCGAGTCCTGCTGCTGCGTCGTCTGTAGCAGCCCCGGCAGCAACGGCTGTCGCAAGCTCCGGTGCAACGACCATTGATTCTTCGGCTCCAGGTGCTCAGAATGTTGGTCTGGGCAATGGACAGCAATTCATTACTGGGCAGTGCCTCTCGGACGCCGATTGTGCGTCAGGTTGCTGTGCAAACCCAAAGGGCGTATGTTCTGCAGTGGCCGTTGCCTTTGATAGTGGCAAGCAAGGATGTGGCTTTGTCGGCACGGCTGCCTAGGTGACCTTCATACACAATACCCTTTTATTATTCGTGGCGAAGCATGATTCGAGGTGGATCGAATTAGGTTTTCATGAACTGGATTTCAGAAGCATTAAAGGTATAGCAGGACGGGCCTCTAGCTGGTTATTTGGGCGTTGGATAGAACGGACCATGGCATCATATATTTAATATCACACTTCTAGAAGTGGCTCCGTGGAAAGCGTTATACTGTGTAATGGGCTCACTAAGTGCGTGCAGTCACGCAGTTATGGCCAGATATAGTTTATAAATTAGCTTAAGTAAAAAGAAGCTATTTCTTATACGCAAATTTTATCGTAATTTATTTAGGCACCGGATTAACTATATATCCGGTGCCGAAAATCGGGTGCACCTGTAATATTACCTTTTTTCCGGGCTTTTCGGGAAATTAAACCCTAGATTTTTAAAAACTCCCCTTTTAATTATTAAGCTATAATAGCCGTTTATGCCCTAATTGCTTTACGCAACGCTTTTTTTTTATAATTTTTATTATAAAACCCGAGATTTTTTTTAGCTATAATACGTTTTTTATTATAAATAAAAAATTTAAAATATAGGGTTTTTAATAATTATTAATAAGCCGTTATTTTTTTAATATAAAGAAAAAAACGCTATCCGGGTATATTTAAAATATTAAAGCTTTTATTAAAAAGTATTTAGTTAATTAATTTAATATTAAAAAGCGCGTAACTAGCTATTTTGTATAGCCGGTATTTTTTTTTAAATAAATAAAAAGATTCCTAATACCTTTTTCGAATAAAAACGGGAAAATATAAATAAATTAAAAATTTAATCCTAAATTCCGACGGAAGGCAAAAGTATTTTATTAATTAAATTTTCGAATTTTTTCTTTTTAGCTAGCTTTTTTTTTAAAGCTTTTGCTAATTATTTATTTTTAATTGCTTTAATAATAGCTTTTTATTTTTTTTTTATTAGGGGCCCTATTTTGGCCTTTTTTTTTATTTATTCCGTTATTTACGCCGAATCGGGCTTTAAAATTATTTAAGGCTTATATATTATCGAATACGGTTCGGGCTTGCTAAATAGGTTTTATATAATTTTATTATTTTATTAATAATTTCTATTCGAATTTTTATTTTACAAAATATTACTCCGCACGGAAAATCCTTTTAACGATTTATTTTTTTTATAAAAGTTCTTTATCGAATATTAGGAGCGGCTATTAATTTTCGCTTTTTTATAACGGTAAAGGATTTTCGTTTATTTTCCGTAATAAATTTATATAAAATCGTAATTAAATTTTATTAAATACGTTTAGCTTAATTATTTATAAGCTAATAATTTTGCTAATTTTATATTTTATATTAATTTAGGATAATTTTTTAAATATTTATAATATTTTTAAATTTTTAAGCTTAAATTATATTAAATTTTTAGTTTTAAATCGTTTTTATAGCTTTTTATTTTTATTCGCCGTATTTTTTATTTTTTATTATATAGCTGCTATTATAGCTTAAGCCAGGTTTTAGCCTTTTTTTTATCGGTTTATAAATTTTTTAGCTTATTTTTTACCTATTTTTTATAAAAGCTTTTATAACGGGAATATTTGCTTTATAAATTCGGCGTAATACCTATAAATTAAAAAAAAAGGATTAGCGCCGATCGAAATATTACGGTTATTAATAATAAATATAATAAAAAAGAGAAATTCGGGCTAATTATATTAGGCATACGAAATAAAAGCTTTAAAATATAATTAAATTTTTTAATTTATACGCTTAATTAAACCGTTAATTTTTAGGTAAAAGGCTATAAATAACTTTTTTTTAATATTTACGATTTTATATAAATAAGCCTAAAAATCGCTTATTTAATTCGATTTTTTATTAGAAATAATAGCTCGAAAAAACTTATAAAACTTTTAATAATAATTAATAAAACGCCGGGCGTAATTAGGCGCTTTTATAATATTTATATTTTTTATTATAATTATTTTTATTAGGCGATTTACGATTATTATTATAAAATAAAGGTTTTTTTTTTTTCGCAAAAAGCTCCGTTATAAAATCGATAAAAAATTCCGAATAAAACCGGTTTAATATAAGGAAAAGGGTTAAAAGGCCGTTTTTTTTCTTGCGCTAAATTTTAAAGTGCTTATAAATATCGCAATTAATATAAAATCTCCGTATTGCTTTAAATATTTTCGGCTAATAAAAATGCTTTAATATTATTGCAAAAATATTATCCTTTTTTAAATAGCCGGTAATAAATAAATCGTAAATTTTTTATATAAATACAATTTAAAAAGGTTTTTAATCTAAAATAAGCAATTTTTTTCGGAATAAAAAAGCGCTTTTAGGGTTTAGTTTATATTCCGCGATTAATATCCTAATATTATATTTTTTTTTAAATAACCCGGGCGGAAATATACGCGCTTTTAATTATATTATAAAATATAAATTAATAAAATTAATATTTTATATTATAGCTTTATTTTAAAATAATTATAGTTTAGCTTTAAAAAATAAATTTTTATTTTCGGAGATTCGATAGCTTCGTTTTACGCTTAGTAATTTTCGTTTTATAGGTTTAAAATATAAAGGTATTATATAAATTAATACTTAAATATATTTAATATTTTCGGAAAATATAATAATAAATAGGAGCTATTCGTTTTTAACGAGTTATAAACGGCGAAATTCTAATTTCGGGTTATCGATCCTTTTAGGGAAATCCTGCTTTAAACGGTTAAAAGCATTAGGTTTACCGCTTTTCCTTTTTACGCGGAATTATAATTAAAAATTAAACTTAAATAAAATTAAAAATTATCGAGCTTATTTTTTAATTAAATTTCTTTTAATAATAAAATATTATAAATTTTTATAATCCGTAAAGATTTTAAAAGGTTTAGCTAAGCTTTTTAGTTCTTTTTTTTATTTTTTTAAATAACGGATTATCGTAAATAGCTTTTTATTATAAATTTCGTAATTAATTTCGGCTAAATTTAATCGTTTAAAAAGGAAAGCTATAAAACGTAATTTTCCCTTATTATTAATTTATAAAAAGGTTTTTTTTAAGGCTTAATTAAAATAATCGCATTTAATTACTATTTTACGCTTTTCGTTTTATATCGCTAAAATAAATATAATAATAAAAAGCTTTTTAAAAGTTTCGAAGCTATATTTTTTAGTTAATTTTTATTTTTAAAATGCTGATTTTTTAAATAAGGCTAATAAAAATCCTATAACGTCGCTAAATTAAGGGATAAACTTTTTATAAAAATTCGCAAAGCTTATAAAACTGCGAATTCCTTTTACGTTAATAAAAGCCTTTTATTTTTTAATAACCTTTACCTTTTTAAGATTAATTTTAATTTTTTTTCCGGTATAAATAATAAATTTTAAATATTTAATTTAAATAATAGCGAATTTATATTTTTTAAAATCGAGGCGGAACCCAGCCTTATTTAATTTAGTAAAAATTTTATTTACCTTTAATATATAATTTGCGTAATCGCCGTTAAAATAAATTAAAACGTCGTCTAAATAAGCAAAGTAAAAATCGTCTAGGTATTTTCGTAATATAATATTAATAAATTTTTAAAAAATAGCTAGGGCTCCCGTTAATCCGAAAGGCATTACTAGCTATTCAAATAAGCTAAAACGAATACGAAAAGCGGTTTTCTATTTATTTTTTTTAATCCTTATTTTATAAAAAGCGGCCTTAATATTAACTTTAATAAATTATTTAACTTTTAAAAAAAAGCGCAAAATTTCCCTAATAAAAGGAAAAAAATAGCGGTCTTTTTTTATAATAGCGTTTAAGGCTCGGTAATTTACGTAAAAACGAAAACCTCCTCCGGGTTTTTTTATAAAAAGTATAAGGGCTTTTCCGAAAGAATTATTAGCCTTAATCCAATTTTTATTTAGGTAATTAGTAAATATTTTCCTAAAAACAAATAATTTATCTTTAAATATACCGTATAAAAGGCCTTATAAAATTTCCCGAATTTTACCTTATTTATCCTTAAATAAAGTAATCGTATAGTTTATTTTAAATCGATAAAATAAAAGCTCCGCTTACTTGTTATTTATAAATAAAGGAGTATAGTATTTAAGCTAAAAAGGTAATATATCGGTTATTTCGGAAAAAGTCGTTTTTCTTTTAATTTTTAGCGCTTAATTAATATTTGCTATTATAACGGCAAAAATTTAGGTAGTTTTAATTATTTTTTTAAAGTTTTTGCGCGCTTTACGCATTTTTATTACGTAAATAGCACTTATAATTATTTATATATTTTTTACGTATTGCGTCCTATTTTTTATTAATTTGGGTGCTTTATTTTTATATTAGCCTTTTTTACGGATAAAAAAAACCGTGCCTTTTAGTATTAAATTTAAATGCTTTTTTCCTAAATAAATATATTACGTTATTATTTTTTATTTAAGGTTTTCCTAATATAATATTATAAGCTAGGTTAGGAACGACGTACTTTATTATTTTTTTTTATCCGTTAATATTTATTTAGCAAATGGCGATTTTTCGAATATATCGATATTTTTTATTATTATTAGCGAGCCGGAATTTTTTATTTTAGATTTAAATGCGTTTAAATTTTTTTTAATTATAAAAAACTTATTAAAAGCAAAATAATAAAAGCATTTATTATCGATAAACGCGTTATAATAAAATAAATTATTAACGAGTATATTTATTAAAAAAAAGGTGGTATATATATTATTTAAGATATTTAAAGTAATAATTATAGGTTTTTTTTTAAGTCTTTAAAGGCGATTTTCCTTAAAGCTTAAGCATTTTCTAACGGTTTTTTATTTTCTTTAAAGTCCGAAATAACCTCGGCGTGGCTAATTCGGAAATTAAAGTTAATAAAAAGGCTATAAATAATATATTTTTAATAAAAATATTTAAATTATTTATATTTAAAATATAATTTTTTTTTTCGGAAAAACTAAATTTTTTGCTTATTACGCTAAAAAGCTTAAGGTTTTTATTTATTCCCCGACGCCTTTTTGCCTATTTATATTACGTTTATAATATTAATAACGGTAATAATAAATTATTATAAATCGAATTTATTAATTTTTTTATAATAATATTTTTTTTAGCGTTTATTCGATTCCGTAAGGTTTCCCGAAAAAAAATAAAATAAAACGAAATAGCTCCGGCTTTTTTTAAAAACTAAATCTTTATATTTTTAGCTTTTTTACGCTTATTTTTTTATAAGGCATTTAGGCGATTAGCTATTTTTTTAATTATATTTAATTATTAATCGTAATTATTATTAAGCAAATCGAAAATAATTAAGCGGTTTTTTAAATTTTAATTAATAGCGGAATTAAAAATAATAATTTTAATTATGTTTACTTAATTTAATTTTTTATTAAAACCGAACTAATATTTAAAATCGTTTAAAAAATCGGAAAATTTTTAATTTTTTTTTTATTTTATCCGAATTAAGCGATTACCTGCGATTTATTTAGCTTTTTTATCGATAAATTAGTTTTCGATTTTTTTAAAAAACGTTTCTTATTTAAGCTATTTAAAATTAATATTAATAAACTATTACGCTACGCGAAAGCGCTTATTTTTTAAAAAGGCTATTATAAAATTAAGGCAAATAAGCTATTTATTGCCTAATAAGTAACGGTCCCTTATTATTTTTATTTTCGCTATAATAAAAAAAAGCTTAAAGGATTTTATTTTTCCGTCCTAAAAAGGCTATTTAACGGCTTTATAATAACTAAAAGCGCTATTATAAAAGGCTTAAGCCGCATTTTCGGGGTCGGAACCTTTTATAATATTATATATTAAAGGGAAAAGCGAGGGGTTATTAAAAAAGGGAAATTCTAAAGCGATTTTATATTTATTAAAATTTTCGGATATTACGCTATTAAAGGTAAAAAATAGCATTAAAAACTTTATAAGCACTTTATTAATTTATATAAAATTATAAAAAATAAAGCTAATTTATATATAATAAGCTTATTAAATGCGTATAATTACGCAATTATAGCTAAATATAATTTATAAACTAGCTTAAATAAAAGGAAGCTATTTCCTATACGCAAATTCTATCGTAACCTATTTAGGCACCGGATCAACTATATATCCGGTGCCGAAAATCGGGTGCACCCGTAACATACTGGCCTTGATCATATGCATAATATTGCTCTTGTCGCTGATCGTAATCGTCATCTCGCTGTTGGCAGCCACTGCAAAGCCGGTTAAGAGACGGTGGCCATGCAGATTGCGGTGGTTTGAGTTTGAGGCCAGCGAGTTGTTACTAGCTCTCAAAGACGAGATTGTGATGTTCAGTCAATCTTTCGCACAGCCTATCTCTCTTTTTCCATTCCTCAATGGTGTCTGCCAGCTCGCACCCGGTCTGAACCAACAAGTCCCACAGGGTATCTTCGATATCAAACCCAAATATGTTTTCCGCTTCTGCCTTTGGCCCGAGAAGTCTCAATCTCGACTTGCCATTTTTTGCAATCAAGTCTCCCTCATCTACTAGATGCCCAGCATTCATTTTGGGTGTATTCGAGTGCAGAAAGGCAGGACGGATCTTGTCCGAACCTCCCTGCCTGCTTGAGGCATCGTCAGATGGCAAGTGTTGCACTATGGCGGTTCCCTTCTTCTTGATGCCGTCGTGTCGTCCGAGAGAAACTGCAGGGGTCTTGACGCGGTAATATGGGGCATCCAAGGCAACGGCAGCGGCCATGAACGTCTCCTTATCGCCCTGACCCAGGGCACCTTGGCTCAGAAGAGGGTAGAAGAAATCCACGCCAAAGAGATTATAATAAGTCGCCAAGAGCAAAGGAGCAAGATGCGTCTTCTTGTTGACGACGAGTTGGCCGGACTCGCTTGATGTTGATGGCAGGTTCTCTGGAAACTCGGTCAAGCCAGCAATATCCCAAAAGCGAGGCGATTCAGTGGCGACCCAAAAATCAGGCCACGTTAACAATCCGCTGGACTGGTATGGCTCTGTTTCGAAGATGGCAGTCTCTGGATCCACTAGTGGTATACTGTCACTGTCCAGAAGTAAAACTTCGGCAAAAGATGACAGCAAGAGTGCCGGTGCCTTGAGCTGGTAGTGCTTGATGGCAATATTGCCTTCGCTCTGGTCTTGGTCGGGCTGAAAGTGGGATAATACCACACATCTCGCATTGAGCTTGGGCAAGTACTTTTCGCACACGTCCTGTTCGTAGTCGTTATCATTGGGCACAAATACCTCGACGGGCAGGGTGCTACCCGTCCGTCGCAGCATCTGAATGCCAATGATGGCGGGACCGAAATATTCTCCCCCGCCCACCATGACTACACCCCGACCACTAAAGATGCTATAATCAATGCGGTCCAGTGATTCCAACTCCTTCATGAATCGTTGATGGGCAAGACGGATCAGTTCGAGTTCAACTTGCGCATTGGTGACGAGATCTTTGTGAGGCGTGCGTTGTGCGGAAGCATCTTTCGGCGCATTCGTTCCGGCGTTGCCAGTGATTGTTATCGGCGTGCCTTCCGGCCGGGTATCGTACATCAGCTGACTCCAGCGTTCCCAGAAAAGGGATATAGGTTTGATAGAGGGCGCATCGGCTTTTGCGCCGCCGCGCAACGTTTCTTCACCATGAACCGAAGATGGCGTTTTGGTACCGAGGCCGGGGAGTAGGTAATTGGAGCGCCGCAGGTATACCAGTAGGACAACCGCCGGTACAAAAAAGGCCAGCCATCGTAAAGCCAACCGCATGTTGTGCCGTTCAAGTCATGCCTGAAATACAACTACTTGTGACTTTCTGGAACGATTGTCGGTTGTGATCCAAGGTGACAGATACCCTACATTTGTAGTGGCAGTTTAGGAGGTGACAGCATTAGGATCCGTCGCGATGACGGGAGCTTCCACGCGTCTATTGCCATATTGGGCTAGCGCATTGTCCAATCTCGAAGAATAATAGGTACGGAATAAGGAGGGATTCTGTCCGGAAATCCACAATCGTCGACATGGCAGCTTTCGAATACTCAGGTAAGCTACTAGTTATGTATTTATTAGAATACTTGGTAGGTATGTAAATTAAATCAATCCCAGTACTTGTGCTCTATTCTGCCAGTCTCTCCCCCCGGAGGTTGCTGATTGCCGACATTGCACTACTTTGTGGCACTTTGTGGCACTTTGTGGCACTTTGTCCGAGTTGGTCCGAGTTGGTCCGAATCTTATGATATATATACACAGCCATCCCGTCAGCAAGAATAAGTTGTGAAGATGGCATGCTAAGATTTTTGTCGAATAGCCTTTGTCACATTCTGATTTGAAAACCAAGGTGCATTTCTCATCTAGTCATGCCTCCTGACAAGGCACAATCGATTCCCTCAGCAAAGCGCATGCGTCTTGGTACCAAAAGTTGTGCCGAGTGCAGACGCAGAAAGATTCGTTGTATTTTTAATAATCAAGCCAAATCGTGCACGGCTTGTCGGCTGCATGATACAGTATGTGAGCCTCAAATGGCCATGGTGATCGGGACCAAAATGACGACCCACGATGAAATGACAGCACGTATGGACCGCCTCGAGTCATTGATAGCTCGAGTATGCGAAGCCGCGGATCTAAAGGGTGACAAAGACTCAGAGTCGAAAGATCTTGAGGCATCGATATCTACCTTGATAGATCGGCTTTGCGCTGAGCGTAATCAACAAACTTCGGCCCAGCTGCTTCAATCTGAGTCCAAGCCGTCTAAACGGCTGGAGCCAAAGTTCTATCCAACTGCCGGCCATGACCAGGCTACCGAGGCGCCGTTGATGGAATTTATCAGAGCATCAGCCATTATTGAAGGACCACAAGTTGTGGACGAACTTGCCAGCACCAATCCTAGGGCAGAGAGGTTTTCCAAAGCCGGCGTGTCCAGAAACCACATACGTCGTCTTCTACCCAGTCCTTCCGAAGTTAATCAGATCCTTGAAGCGACATGTCTTTACTGGCAGCTTTGGCCACTCCACCCCAGTCAGCTCAGCCCAGCAAGCAACTTATCGCTGTCAGTGGTGACCATTGCCCGCTCATTTATTGAAGAGTCTCTTGAGCGTGGCCCGCCTGATGTAATGGCTCGAGCACTCATATGGTTTGCTCTATGTATTCAACAGGTTCCAAGAAGCATCGTCAGTGACATTCCGTCGCTAGCAGAGTCCTCATCTGCAGTTGTGATGCAATTTTTGAGCGCAAGTGATGCTCTTTTGGGCCCAGACGTACAAGGAGATTTTACGCAGGCAAGCCTGACATGCTTGGTACTACAGGCTAAATGCTACGTTAACATGGGTCGTTTGCGACAGGCTTGGCTGGCTACTCGACGAGCTGTCAACCAGGGCATCATTCTTGGATTCCACGATCAGCGAAAGCACTTGGACCACGAGGATGGAAGGATCTGGCATACTATTTGGGCTCACGATTCCCAGTTATCTCTATTGCTTGGCGTTCCCTCCTCGTTGCCGCCATATTGTACCATCTCCTTGGATCTTCCTTTCGAAATGCCACCAGAAGCCAGCATCATGCATCACATTAGTGTTTTGTGTGAAAAGATCAACGCCCGAAACCAGAATCACCGCCAGTATTCATACGCCGATACTATGACACTTGATAACGATTTGGATAAGCTGCGAGCGATGATTCCGGAGGAGTGGTGGAAACCAGATTTGACAGATAAATTACCTCTACCGACCTTTCACGTTCGACAGGCTTCGAAGCTGTATTACCACCATCTTAAACAGCTCATACACATTCCGTACATGCTCAAAGCGACCACAGAGGCCAAGTATCAATACAGCAGAACGTCGGTTCTCGAGGCACTCGGGGGTATGATGGAGTGCTATGCGGGCAGAAGATTGCACCCTAATGGTCAGTATGCAATGTGCTTTTTGGTCGACTTCCTCGCCTTCAGCGCGGGGTTGATCCTGGCTGCGGACCTTTTGTCTCAGCAATCTACTTGGGGCAGCGAGGTTGAGTTGGAACAATGGCAGTCGATCAGGAGCTTGATCAAGGAACTTCGAATTGCCGCGACCTTGTTAGATCACACGGTAGCGCAACAAGCGGCACAACTTCTCGAATACTTGGACTCTGCTCGACACGGTGCATATCATGGTCCAGATGTCTACGATGCGGTCGTTCCCTACTATGGAAAAGTTCGCATCAGAAGGCCACAGATTTTATATCCATCGACAAACATTGGCCTTGATGCTGAACCGGGTGTGGTTGGAACCGTGGCGTTTGATTCCAACATTTATGATTTCAATCCCTCCCTGAGTTTCAATGCCGCTGAGCTGGATAGGGACTGGGCCTCTCTCCTGGGTGACGATATCACGTATGATTGGACCGGTGTCTTTGAATTTTAAATCGGTACCATCATTTCATGGGTCATGAGCTCTTTCATGTCCTAATTGGCTTGAGTCTACTTATCCAAGTACCGAGTCAAGGTGCGGATAGCATCACAAATGCACGTCGAACCCCCAATCAATGGCCTTTATGTGCTCTATACAGTTCAATGAACAAACAACCCGAAATCCATCCTGAATCACTGCTGTTTGTCATACTGAGCAAACAGCTCTTCAAGCTCTTGAAGCCTTCCTAAACCATCGTGGAGCCTTGGCCACTCCCTGTTGTCTGGTAGCTGACCTGTTGGCCTACCATTTTCCCACCACCAGGCAAATCTCTCATATAATTCTGCAACGATTCGTGCTCTGATGGGAAGTTCTTTTTGCCAGTCCTCCCAATCCCATTCCACTGTTTCTACCTGATTCGTTGCATGATCGTGGACCTGGATGGTAATTGGAGCATGGTAGGAATCTGAATGGATATATGGTCCGGAAGGGCTAACCACAAGGATCTCTCCCTTCTGACCATTGATGGTCCAGGTGAAGGCGGGTGTGTCTTTGAAAGGCTTGCCATTTCTAAACGTGACAGCCAAAACAGCACCATCCGAAGCAGTTCGCCGGCCTTTGACAATTCCATGTACGGCGAGAAAATCTGGCACGTCAGACGTGACCGTACCAAGGTCCTCGCCACCGCTTCCCAGAAGCTTTATAGTGGGCTGTTGGATAGTCATGCGGCTCTGGAACGACTCGAAATTGCCCAAAACCTCGTGGACAAAGTCTATCATGTGTGCATACGCAATGGTGATTGGGTTTCCTCCCACTGCTCTTTCGGCAAAATAGGAGAGGCCAGTTGGCAGTGCATCGTTGGCCAGTAACTTCCCAAATGCCTTAATGTCGCTGCTGAGAACTGGCCCGATGCGCCCAGAGTCCAATAAATCTTTCAAGGTTGTAATCACGGGCGCGACCCTCCCTTGAAGACCCATGATGCTGTTAGGTAAAGGTTGGCCTCTGGTCAATTGATAGGCCCGTTGCAGGTTCTCAGTGAGCGGCCACTCCACATAGACGGCCTTTCCCGCTGCAATGGAGGGCTCTATGCTTGAGAAGTGCACATCGACTCGTGTATTACAGACGACCAAGTCAACTTCGGGATCCTGTGCAAGCAATGTTGGATCTCCATAGGTCCTCACATTGCTCGGCAGGCCAAAGTGTTGTCGCGCTGCCTCGGCTGCAGACTTGGTGGAGTTGAGCAGAGCAACGATTTCATAGTGACGCCTGCCTTTGGCAGAGGATAGATATGGGAGGTGACCTTGAGCTGCCCAAGAAGTCTTTGCTACCGAGGAAAGACCTATGAGAGCTACACGGATTGCCGTCATGGTGCTTGCAAGACTTGTAAGTGCTGGGCTGAAAGACTAAGTAGTATCACTGGTAAGGAGGGATCGTGAAATAAGTACTTGAATATTGTGTTGAGTGGCTTTGCAGGGAACATTGGGTCATATATATATACCTATAAAGACTCTCAGATACAGCCAGGTCAATCATGGACATTTCTCTATAGATTATTACTCAGCCATCATGTTTATAAAGCAAGTCGGGTTCAACAGCAAACACTGTCCGATTGCCAGTATTTGAGGTGGAAAAGTACAGTGCCAACAAATTATGTCGCACTAACAGCTTTACCTAGAAAGGCAAATGGTCTTTGAAGCTTGCTAATAGCACAGGTAGAAACGAGGGCTTCAGAGAAGGGTATATTGGTGACGGCAAGATTCGTTAGAAGACTGCTTTTGTGATTGCTAACTCAAGCGACAAAAAGAATGCGACATGCAAGAGTCTCCAAATGTCGACCATTGACACACAGCAGCAAGCCATGCTCGAAAAGCATTCGTATTATTCTCAAGATAAGCCGTCTACTAAGGAAACACTCAGCCTACTCCGCCGCTACTCTGTTTTGCTTAACAATCTCCTCCCCACCCCAATTGCCTATTGACTTCGTTCATGGCACTCATACCAGCCCTAAAGAAGCCCATGGCGCCGTCGACGGTAGTGTTGCCTGTTTCAAAGCTGGGTTCAGGCTCCTGTGCTCTTCTCAAGTCTGCCTGATCCAAGACAGTCTGACGCTTTTCGAGGACAGCCTGGAGTATGGCCCGAGCCCACATATTGTACCACTGGGCTTCCGTGATACTAACATATTCGCGACGCGATCCTTCTGCCATTCGCGAAAATGGCCACTCGGCAACAGCAACCTCCCAACGCTTGGTACGGAAGAAGAGGTATGGCCAGGAAAAAATGAACATGAGCGTAATGAAGAAAACAAAGCGCAGCCAGCCTATCAAGCGCCAGCGATTGATCCGTGCTTCATTGTAGATCTCGACCAAGGCGTCTTTGGTTTGAAGTCGAATCTCCAGGTGACCTCTATAGTTGGTGCTGCGAACCAAGCTGTGCAGCTCCTGCTTTACTTGCTGAAAGTCAAACCCGGTTATTTCGCGCCTCAGGGCGAATGACTTGAGGCCGGCATGACTTGCACAGAACCGATGGCACCACTCTTCCAAGGTAGGCTTTGGGGCTCCTCCTACTTCCAAATCTTGTTTAGCACCAGGTGCACGCTTCTTGAGACTCGTGCCGCGATGAACCTTTTCTGCATTGTCGACGGTACGTAGTTGTGTCCAAGACTTGCCATACTGTACGTTTGAGTACAGATATGGTGTCAACTCGACAGAAACATCAAAATCCGTCACTTTGACGTTCTCAGTCTTGCCATCGCTCTTCTTCCTGCTGGCCTGATGAGTCCCTAGAATTTGAATGTACGGTCGCGGTGGCTTTGCTGCCAGGATTCGGACGTATTGTGCTAGATCGGTAGGAGACTCGAGGCGCCCATCAATATAGAATTCAGCGCCAGTGCCAACATCTGTCCGGTAGGGGCGAAACTGCGAGGATCGTACTGGCGCGGATTCACCAAGCAATGGAGCTTCGGCCGAGGATGAAGATGATTCTTCGACTACGTCGGCGTAGACTGGAGGCAAGTCGTCCAATGCGTCAATATCTAGTTCGGGGGCATCGTCATCGTTGTATGGCGGGAAGCTCTCGCGGTCGCCAGGATTAGTGTGCAGCGAGACGGCATCGGCTTGCGCTTCCGCTTCGGTGTTTGGTTTGCCCATTTGTAATTGTGACGATCGCAGGAAACACAGAATTTGATGTTGGGGGCAGTCTAGATGCCTCGCGATTCGAAGTATCTTGATCCTAAACTGCAAGAATTTGAATTCAATGTTGCTAATGACAATAATGGCCAAGCACGAAGTACGAAGTTTGATCATTACCGTAACCACGTCTGCCTGCAGCAGCCATTCTAGTCGAGGTACCCAAGTAAGCGCCAAGCCATCAGCGCTGGCCGCAGTAACCTACTAGCTTGCTGATTTTAGCCGCTTGGCTACAAGGTGCTTAGCTGCACTAAGCTCGATCTATTTTATCCTGAGACGCTTGACTTTGATGCATTAATGACAACAACACTTTTTTACTACTACTCCATTGAATCAAAAATAATGTTGAAATATAGTTGATTTTACAATCATGTATCGCAAGACTCTTCAGGAGCCTTTGGCTGCAGACCGTACAGGTAGTGGATCACAAGGTGTACACCAGCTTTTCTCCGCTCACTTTCCCCTCCTGTAGCTCAGCCAGTCCTTTCAATACGCCATCCAAACCGGACCCGTCTCTGTTCACCGTCGGCCGGATGGTCTTGATCTGGCCCTGCTCAAGTAAATCCCGGGCTAAATCCCAGAACTTATGGCCATGCTGAAGCTCCTCCAGGCTTGCAGGCCTCTCTTTGCCCATGGCCTGGTACGAATAACCAAAAACATCATAGCCCAGCGTCCAAAGTGACTCTTTGACCCCTGGATTCGTAGCGAGCAGCGTCTTGTGGTCTACGGGAATCAGCGAGGCGTAAATGGAGCCCTCCTCATCATGACTTAAGGCAGCTGCGCATATAGTCGCGCTTGCTTCGCTGCCAATACAGTCCCACGCCTTGCGCAGCTGTTTACCCTGCCCCTCAGCCCAAGCCTTGATATCAGCGGCACATTGAGGCGACTTGTAGTCAAACACGGCGTCTACACCCAAAGACTTTAGGTAGTCGTGGTTGTGCGGCGATGCCGTGGCGGCAACAGTCAGGCCGGACAACTTGGCGTACTGTATACCAAAGATACCAGTAGCTGTGCTACCGCCATAGATGAGCAGCGGCTCCGGACTTCTCAAGGGCGCTGTAGGTAAAGGAAGCTCAAGAGCTCTGTACAGGCCCTGGCCCACAGTTACAATGGAAACGCCCAAGGTCGCCGCCTCCTCAAAGGACAAATTATCTGGGATTTTCATCGCAACGTCGGCCATGGCGATCATATAGTGCCCAAAGGCGCCAAAGTCAGGCTCCTGTGAATACCTGTATCTCGCATCAGTTTCTCCCTTTTCTTTGAGATCCTTGTGGTTGCTAATGGAGGATGGACGAATTGCTGCGACGTCCCGACTGACTTCCAGCGGTTGAAGAACATAATGAGCCACTTACGCGCCATGCGCCATGCCAGCAATGCGATCGCCCTTCTTAAAAGGCTTGCGGAGATTACCGCCAACTTCCTCAACGATACCGGCATAATCGCAGCCACTCCGAGAACCCGTGGGGGGTTCCGTGCGATACAGTGCTTTCCAGTCTGTGGGATTGAGACCAACGGCTTTGACATTAACAAGCACATAGCCGTCGCGTAGCTTGGGTATAGGAACTTCGGCGATCTCTGCCTTTCCAGGGCCAAAGATCTTTACAGCTTGGGTAGTCATATTAACTTGGCTTTTTTTTTTATTTGCAGTGGAAGAATAACTGGAGTTAGGTACGATACAATAGTCACAAAATAAATTGTTAATCACTCGCACAATGACTTCGGGAGCGCATCGCCTTCATATTATACTCTAAAAGTTTGCTTATAAATCGCATGTGATTTATCATCAGTTTACACCCACCAGGGTCTATGAAAGTCCAATAGGTCGATGTCTGAGTAGGAATTTTGGGGCCCCTCACTAGATATGAGAATTATACTTTGACTTGCGAAGACGCAGAGTATAATTTGATAAAGAAAGAAAGGGGAAGAAAAAAAAAGAAAGACCCAGTAAGGATATTCTTTACTTTAAAACTATGCACGGAATAAATCAAAACAAGCATTCTCATAATGAATGTATGCGACAATCATGACAAGCGACCTCATCTCATGTGACACCGAGCGATACCTAATAATGAAACGAATAAAAAGAAGATAAAAAAACATACAGTAGATAAATATGAATGCGCTGCAGAATGACTGTGGAGTTTGGGGGAGGCAATGAAAATGGTCCTTCAGTCAATTATTCGCACTCTAGTTCCGTAGTGTAATTCTACTCTTTATTAATTGTATTGGATATAGTGTACACATGCAGTATCTCCATCCCTTGATGCACAGGATTTTTAAGTACTTATCTATTAAAGCATCTTTCAAGCAGGGTCTGTTACTTCAAGTGTCGATCCGGAACGTGCACCCGATTAAGCGAGCAGTCTTTACTTTGCTCAAGTCTGTCACAGTCAATTCTCGACTACAGTCTCAGCGTTGCTATTCAGGCACACTTGATCCTTACCTAGGCAGGTACATGTGTGTAATCAACGGCTCTCAAAACGCCGCCACAGAAGCGGCATAGTGGTTGCAAAAAGCTCCTGTACATAGCTACATGGGCAAGTTGGCAGACTTTCCGCCAATAGGCTCTCTAATATTATACTGCCATTTCGACAGAGCCGCATAGCGACATTGGGTGTATAAAATCACGTTATTGGTGGTAAAATACTCCTGATAACCACACACTAGGAATCTACAGAGTCAATTATTGGCACTATGTCGCTCAGGTGAATCATATTCACTCGTCATCTTTGGTCACCATCAATATTATAGCTCTCGTTCTCAGAACCGTAAATTCGTGACATGTGGCAAGGTAGTATTGCCTTAGTCCAAGAACACCCAAGGCTACCGCTTATTTTGGAAGCATCTTTTTCCCTTCTTCTCCTGGAGCAGCTGATTGGGGCATTCTATCGCTTCTGTTTGTGCTTGCGTTGTCATTGCCATGCTAGCCTGCACGGCTCAGTAACCGAAATGATTAGAAGGTCACTCGGACCTTGGGCAGATAGCCTCGACAACATGCTTCATGAGACATTCAATGCTTTGCCATTTCTACTGGTGGAAAATCGATGGATTGGATAAGAATATACACCACATTTGCACTGCAATGACTATCACGATACGTCCATGGCACTGATTACTATATTGTTTGACGGAGTATAAAGTCTACAGATAGTTTCAGTCATCATCGAGACCAATGGATATCTTTGTCAACTTCAGAAAAGGCCGGCTCCTATACATATTCTAGATTTCTGCTTTTCACACAATGCATCGCTACAGTATTCTGGCCCTTGTGCCAGCTGTGCTGGCATGCACAAATCCCGACACAGACGCGTGCGCTTCGTACATGAGTGCAAACTCAGCAACTGCATCGGCCTTCTGTGCAACATTCACTCAGTCAACTGTCACGGCTACAGCTGCTTTACCAGCCTGGGCTTCATATTGCTCAAGCAAGCCAAGCGCTATTTCAAAGGAATGTACTTGTGCTTTCTCAGGTATGGCAGGCCACGGTGATGTTGGGATTTTTTCTAATACGAATTAGGCGCTGCTACCTCCACAACCACGATAGCGACCAGTACTACCACAAGGGCTACGACTCTCACTACGTCCACATCCACATCCACGTCGACCGGGCCATCAACAACATCAACTGGCACTTGTGCATCGCCAAATTATGCTCTCGTCGGCTATGGTGCTGGAGCGACTGGCGGTGGTAGCGGAAGTGGTACGACAGTCACTTCTTGCTCGGCCTTGGAGAGCGCGATTGATGGAGCCGGTGTAATCACAATCTCAGGCATTCTTGACGGATGCGGTATTCTCGACGTTCTCAGTGACACCACCATCATTGGCACTGGGTCTGATTCCGGTATGGCCCTTTCCGTCATTGCGACGTTGACGCTGGCCGCGCTAACAGTTCACAAGGCCTCACCAATGGAGGTTTCCGTATCAAGAAGGCGAATAATGTCATTTTGAGGAACCTAAAACTTCATGTTGCGCCAGAAAGCAAGGATCTCATTGAGCTTCAATACTCGACCAATGTCTGGATTGACCATTGCGACGTAAGTCGAACCCCACTCCCCATATTTTCAACTCTTGTGTCATCGCATGTTGAGATCCGTGCAGCTTTCTACCATTGGTATCACCGGAGACAAGGACACCTATGATGGTCTACTTGATATTACTCATGCTAGTGATGATGTTACCGTTTCATGGACCAAATTTCATGATCACGTAAGACCGATCCCGACTTTGGATGCCATACTTGTAACTCAATACTGATGATCTCCCAGTGGAAAGGCTCATTGATTGGTCACTCTGACAGCAATGGAGATGAAGATACGGGCTACCTTCACGTAACCTATCATCATAATTACTGGACCAATGTCAACTCGCGTCTCCCATCCATTCGATTTGGAACGGGCCATGTGTATAGTTCTTGCTATGAAGACAACCCGACATCCGGTGTTCACTCACGCATGGGTGCACAAGTCCTTGCGGAAGAGAACTACTTCCTAAACACCAAGCTGGCCCTTGTTACCAACCTTGATAGTGACGAAGATGGCTACATTCTCGATCGCAACAATGTCTTTGTGAACAGCACGGAGAGTATTACTCAGGTGGGAAGTTTGACGCCACCCTACAGCTACTCGTAAGTAATTCTCTAGGGAAAATAATCATTATTTGGTGACGCTGATTTATTTAGACTTGATTCCGCTTCATGCGTCTGCGAACTAGTCAAGGAATACGCTGGTACCGGAGTTGTCGCATAGTCGTGGATGCCAGAAAGACCTGCAGCTGCAGGTGAAGTAGCATATGTATACTGGATAAGTCGTGGATGAAATATCATTTTGACGATATCTGCTTGAACTAAGCATATCATATCATGATATTTTAATTGATTCGACACTGGGAAAGTAGAATTAAATTTCCATGTATATTCTTGTTATTCTTTTCTCCCCCCTTTCCCTCTTTTTCTCTTTCTCCTCTTTATCTTCATTTTCTTTCTCTTATACGTAGTAATATACAATAAGTCCAGCATCAATATCAGAAATTCCGTGTTTGGAAAATTATGTTCCAGAGTCATCTTAAAATCAAGCCGGATTCCCTATCCATATATTGTGCACCTCATCCCTGTGAATACAGTTTTCGCAATCTCTCCATTTTTCTCTCTTGATCTCTGTTTCTTGGCGATCCTTATCCTTTGCTTTTTTTTGGATACCATTTTTGCACCTTCCAAACCCCCCATTTCGTGCTGCTGTCCTACAAATCTCTTGCAAGTTGGTGTAACTTTTCTCGCCGTGAAGTTGCCAGCATTGTCCACACTGGGATTGCCGGTATTGATACTCGTGGCACATGCTGATATTATCTTGTTAGATGGCCGTGGAAGTCAAAACAATGCACAAAGAAATTGCTGTTGGCTTGACATTGTATTATGTTATTTTGAAATGTCTGATGCTGATTTCACACCAAGACCCCGTTGATTATATAGCTGGAGGAATGATCTTCTTTGTAGTATTTTTCACAGCCGTTTCCGGTTATTACAATGCCTTCTAGCAAGCACACAATGAATGGACAAGGTAGTATTGGTATAATCGGAAAAGCGACAGCTTACAAAGATGTCTTGGGAGCTCTGAGCGTGTGGCGTCTGTCCATATTTTCCCTTGTCTTTGATACAACAAAGAGCCCACATGACTTGGGGCGCTCACGCGCCACATGGAGGCCTATATGGTAGAAAGACCTCTATTCGTGTTTCACTGCCCGCAATGGATTGAAAGAAACCAAGCAAAAGTGCGTGGGGCACTTGAGAAGTCATATTTCAGAATAATATCTCTCCCCCGAATCACAACATAAATGCTGAAGTAGAAGCTTCAGCACTGGCAGTCGCCAGAGTCCGCCAGAATTTCATATCCCTGTATACCTACCTTGTCTATGAACAGGGTGGCCAATACAACATGAGTATCTCGATGGAATGCCTATGCCAACGGTGGGCAACGGCGTGCCCAATGAAACGTGTATCTTTGGTAAGTACCGAACAGCGAGTCGTGTCTGCAATTTGCACCCTCCAAAACGGGCTGGTTCTGTAACTTCTGTCGCCCGGAAATAAGCTTAAAACGACCAAGACACAAACGCGCCGCAGCTGCTCCGTACATCCCGTACACACTGCAAGATTTCAGATCGGAATGCTACATCTGGCCGAACCGGCGACATTGCCTAGAACTTCACAGTCGCATTGAGGAAAATTCTATTCAGTAAAGGGGCAGAAATCAAATGATTCAAGTCCCGTGAAGTATAGCGGTTTCAGCGGACTCCGGCTGAGACCGGCGCGTGCACAATCAGTTGCCTGTCACTTGGCGTCTTCTAACCACCAAGGTCCTCAAGTGGTGAGCAGCAGGTGCATCTCCGACGGTTTACGCCGGCGCCCTCGTGATGCACCAACACGTGCTCCTTGCCTAAAGCGGCACCTGATCGTGCCATCACAAACATCGCCATCAGATGCAGTGCATCACATTACTGTCGGGCAAACAACTATAAGAATCAAACGCGCTCTTGCCCCGCACGAACTAGATCTAGATCTAGATCTCTGTCAGCATGGAGAGCACAACAACAAGGACAACAGCAACAGACTTATCAGAAACACCTGTAGCGCCAATGGGTAGCATATTGTCAACCATGGCCGCACAGGCAGACAAAGCGCAGGAAAGCAAGGAGTTGTCGATGGATTTACCAGTGATCGACGTGGACATTTTTCGGAGCAAGCCTCGCGACTCTCCCGAGGTGATTGCCGAGTGCAAAAAAGCGGCCGATGCCCTTATCACATACGGCGCATTAGTCGTGCATGATTCCCGAGTTTCAGAGGAAGACAACACCACCTTTCTTGACTTGCTGGAGGACTATTTTGCGCAACCAGAGGAAGAGCTGAAGAAGGATGAGAGGCCAGAGCTGGGTTATCAAATCGGCGTTACCCTGGAGAACACAGAAAAGCCAAAATGCGCGGTAGATGAGCCGTGCCTCAAGGTCATTGAACGCCTTGCGCCATCCGAACGGCCGCTGGACATCAAGGCTCACTCGCCAGATCCAAAGTGCAGATTCTTTTGGAGAATGGTCGAAAACCCGCCGTATAAGACTGAGTTCCCCGGCTTGAATGCTGCAAACATTGTTCCGGATGCTCGGCAAATACATGACAGATGGGAACCGGTCATGAACGCGTGGGGAAATACTCTCAGAGATGCGTAAGTGTTGTGTGACCTTCTTTCAAGAAATTGGTCATGGGCTTACCATTTGCGTCCTTAGAGTAACGGATATCTCTGGCATGGCTGCTGTTGGCCTTGGCCTACCTGCAGAAGCATTCATCGAAGCCGGACGTTACGGGTAAGACTTGGTGACAATCACAAAGGTGTTCACGTACTAACCATACTATAGACCTCATTTGCTTGCACCGACAGCCTCCAATCTCACAAAATACGGCAAGAAAGATAGTATTCTCGCAGGTTTTCACACCGATCTCAACTTTTTGACCATTCACGGTCGCTCAAGATACCCCGGCCTACACATCTGGGCACGAAACACTGGGAGGCGCATACCTGTTAGTATCCCGCCGGGAAAGCACTTATTGGTGCAAGCGGGCAAGCAGTTGGAGCATCTCACCGGCGGTCTCATCAAGGCTGGATTTCACGAAGTAGTCGTCAATGATGCGACTCTCAAGGTTGTGGAACGTCGCAAGCAGGAGTTCCCTGATAGACCATTGGTCCGCATTTCCTCGACCTTTTTCTACCACTTATCGTCCGACTATCTCTTGTCTCCGAACGAGATCCTAGCCGAACAGGCGAGGAAAATCCGTACAGCTCAGTTCGACCTTGGCAGAGACGAGGGAGAAGAGGTCGAGTATCCCGCCATGAAAGTTGGCCAGCAAGTTCAGAAGTGAGTATCACTTGCTTATTTTTCAAGGCATTACAATGGCTAACTCCCACAACAGCGAACTCAAGCACATTGCTTTAATGGCATAAGTACGTCTACCATGGATGAGTACTGTTGGGAATAGGTTTCGGCGCATGGGAAAAGATTTAATATAGATAGATCGCATACATATACCCACAAATTCGCATGACGTCGTCAGTCAACCTACCCGTCGAACAGATTGCTCTCCCGGATGATGGGGGAGAAGTTAGCTCACATGGGCCCATGACATATAGCTAATCGAGTTGCAATAGCAGCCTTGGAACGATTCTGCTTGAGCAAATCCAAATTCATTCACCACACCTTCCCAATGTTGGTCTAACTTTTTGAGCCCTATACTACTCTTTGAGTATTACAAGACTTGCCGTCATGGTAGGGAGTGTGTCAATGCTCAGTTGACCATTGGTAAACTGCCACGATAGATTACCAAAAGGGACCGACTCAATAGTTGTTACGTGCCCAGGTATCTCAAACGACAAGGGACCTTGCAAATCGACATTGCCACCATTCACCACGCTCACCATGACTCGATCATCGATAGCCCAGTAAGCTATATCCAAAAGCTCTGAGACTGTGGCAAATATGCGCCCAGGATTCCCGCTTAAGAGAAAATCTCGGACAGGTGGCTGCGTAACCACAAGGGCCATCTCGGTATGTACGTCGAATAATTCCCAGCTTCCAGGCCAGGTCCATCCAAAGATCCCAGTAACGCCTCGATTAAATGCGAGAGCATTCATGACTCTTGCTTCACCAGGTGTTGGATCCCTGAACCAGTAATCCTCTCCATGAAAGACCTGAGGATTATGAAACTTTGGCAACGGCCATCTTCCGAGCCAATACTCGTAGGTCGAAAGATCATCCAATCGGGACGATACGTCTTGGACGTCTCCATCGCAGTTGTCGCACCCGCAATCACCCAAAGTAGCGTTGCACGTAGTATTCCATTTGGAAAAGGTAGCGTTAATGGCAATCGGGTAGACATCTTCCATGAGTATGTCAGCACCCGCCGAGTAGGGCCCAAAGTAGTAATCTTGGCAATTCAACGTGACCGCAACCGGATGATAAGGATCAAGTTGATGAATAAGTGCCTGTGCATTGGTGGGAGCATCAAATGGAGCCTGGTGGCCGTCAGGTCTATTATTGTCAGTAAGAATGTCTCGTCACTACTTTATTATAACGTACTCATCAGCGGTCCAGTAGGCAAAGATTGATGTGTGATTCTTGACGGCATTGACATGTTGTTCAACAATGGACAGGTTTTGGTATGAACCTCGCAAGTCGTACATGAAGCGTAGTCTCTGTTGATCCATGCTGTTATACACTGGATTGGCATCGTCGAATCCGGCCAAGGAAATAATGGCATTAAGGCCTTGGCCGTCACTAGTATAGTTCCTCACGAAATCGTCGGCAGCCTCTGTGCTGTTTGAACCATTGTAAAGGCCATAGTATCCATATGGGAGGAGAGGCTCGAAAATGTTTCCCGTGTCGGGGCTCTTGAATAAAAGGCCACCCTTGAGATTGTCGATTTTGGTTGCACTGCCCTCGGGATTGTCCGGTAGGTACAGAAGCGTGGATGTCGCATTATAATGCCAATCACCATACTCGGAAGAACCACTCAAGACGACATCATATGGCGTTGTACTTGGCGCGACTGATGAAAGATCAAACTCGTACTCTTTTCCCGTGACATTAACGGGGATTGAATCCTCCACCAGAACCATGTCATTCGAGACGAGGCTGATGGAAAAGAAAAGAACATCAAATGGTTTTGTCGTATTTTCATTTGAGGTGGAATTGGACCACGAGAGGCCGTACCAAGGTGACAAGGCGGCATTAACAACAAAAGAGCCGCTCGACTCTCCGTCGAGATAGATGGAATAGCGCGGCTTGAATTGTATGTAGAGGTTTGTTGTGCCATTGTCAACTGGCTCCGTGGTATGCCCTCCAGGCTCAAAGCTGGGGTAGCCGGCTTCATAGACCTTTCCACACCATCTCGGCCAGTCGGTATGTTCGCCTGTCTCCTGAGCAACGACTTTTGTCGCAGCCAGCGAGGCAGCTAGGATGGCGGAAATATATTTCATCGGAACCAGCACGGAGACAGAATCCTCAGTGTTGCCAAACAATGTGTGCTGACCACAAGGAGAATTTCACGTCGGACTCTGCGTCTTTCAAGGGTGAATTATGTACTGACTGCCTGTTGCGACCTGGTCGTCCTGAGTCTGGCCACTTTGAATATTAATGTTTCCTTAGGGTGGTGCATCTCACGGGCACCTACTAAATGCAACGCTGTGAGGTCAGCGAACAACACGCTCCTGCCAATCGCTGCAAACCTAGATCACCCCTCATATGCACAGAGGTCCGGGATTTGTGGACGAACCTTGGACAGTGACCATCATGCGAAAGAACTCGGATGGAGAAACCAACCATTTGCCCAAAATCAGCAAGTAAACCACGGGTTTCCAATGCAACAAATCCAATTAGTTCTATAATCAGGCGAATAAATATTTATTTATTTCTCTATTTCTTTCAAGATTCAGGGTTGAAAGGTTCTTTGGGGAAGAAATTTGAGCTTTTGTCTAAACTCCAATTTGGAGAAACTACCTGCATTGCTCCGTACGCCGATTGCCCGTGATGCGGGGTATATGGTCGAGATAGTGGTGTTTACTCTATTTCTTGGCAAGGATGCATAGGCGAGTGGCGAAGGTCAACAATCTATTGCAAATAAAGGTGGCATCGGGCATTCCGGCCATTCGTTTATGCCCAAGTGCTCGGAATTATGATGCAATTCCATTTATCGACGCTGGGAAAAGTCACAAGGAGTCGGTATCTCATAGATTGATCCTTGTGGAGGTGAAATTGAACCCTATTGCGACTCATTGAGAAAGAAGGAGGTAGCTAAGGCTGCGACCTAGCATCAGGATGTACATGACAGCCATAATTATAATGATATTGACTTATTGTAGGTTATTTATCCTATATTTCATTCCCACCCATTTCAATCCAACTTCGTTCTCTCTTTATCTTGTTGACCTTTCAGCACTATTTGCTGTTTGGCTCCGATGGGTGTAGATAGAGATAGAGAAGGTCCGATAATGCCATTGGCCCATGTGCGACACACGGTTATCTCATGCACGATGCAGGTGATTACTCCTCCCTACCTTGGACAATCATTGATTAGACGACTCATTTGTTAGACAGTCTGCCGCGGGGATGATCCCACGTCCAACTGCCATAAGACAACAACAGAAAGACCGTGGCCAAGCCAAGATTCGCAATGGCTGACTCGAACGAGATTGATGATATTTGCACTCCAGGTACCGTCCACTTGGTAGATTTGGAGCATACAATTGTTGCTCAGCATGTTCGCGACAGAGCCGACATTCTTTTGGTCCCGGTGCCGTTGCAGGATCCCGAGGACCCTCTAAACTGGACTCCAAAGCGCAAATACTTGGCTTTGTCATGCTCTCTGCTGTAAGTAGTTCTTTGCAAATCTTGAAGCCAGAGGCAATAGAGTCCCCATGTATCTCTGCTGACTTTGGTCAGATATACCTGGTTCAATGGAATAGCACTGTCTGTCGTCTACTCGGTGCTTGTTCCTCTCTCCGAGGCGCTCAATGTCTCGGTTGCCACGCTTAATGCTGGTACGGGCTACATGTTTCTGCTTCTAGGGTGGTCTCTGTTGTTTTGGCAGCCTTTTGCTCTGCAATACGGCAAGAGGTTTACCTACTTGCTCTCTTTGATTGCGCTCATGGCTGTCACTATATGGAGCCCGTATGCCCACAGCACAGGGCAGTGGATTGCAAAAAGCATTCTTACAGGTTTCTTTGCCGCACCAATCGAGGCACTCCCAGAGACAACCATTGCTGATTTATTCTTTACTCACGAGCGTGCAACCTACATGGGCTGGTATGCCTTTACCCTAGCCGGGAGCAACTTTTTTGCACCCATCATCTGTGGCTTTATCAATGACAGTATGGGGTACAAGTGGGTTTTCTACTTTCCTGCAATATTCATTGCTGTGACCTGGATCTTTCTTTTTCTCTTCATGGAGGAGACAAACTACGACAGGGAGTCAAAACGCAGATCCGCATCAGGTGAGTCCAACCAATCGGGCATATACATCAAGAATCTCATATAAAATCGGGTGATAGACCAGCAGCGAGATTTCAGCAAGAACACCAAGTCATTCCGGAGCAAGCTCTCCGTTTTAAATATTTCACGGCCATTCATGATGCATCGCCGAGCCTGGCAATCTCTCAAACTGCTTTCTTGGCCTGTGGTATTTTATGCAGGCTTCAGCTATGGGACGTATTTGATATTCTTCAACATCCTCAACGCCACCAGTTCCATCATTCTCGGAGGCAGTCCCTACAATTTTACCCCAGCTCTCGTGGGTCTAACCTACGTAGCATGCCTTGTAGGAGTTGTAGCAGCGCAAGTACCCAAGAATCCTCTGACCCATCTCGTTGCTTACACTTTTCCAGCTCGGCTTTTACGGGAGTGTTCTCAGACCGATTCATTATTCGGGTAGCCCGCAACAACAATGGTGTTCTAGAGCCAGAACATAGATTGTGGCTGTTCACTGTGTCTACTATTGTTTTGCCAGCGTCACTTATACTTTGGGGTGTTGGGGCTGCTCACCATGTACATTGGTTTGGCCTCGTATGCGCCATGGGTGCAACTGCGTTTTCTAACACAGTCGGGGTAACATTGTCTGTTTCTTATCTGATAGATTCCTATCGCGAATTGTCTGGCGACGCTCTCACGACCTGCATCATTATACGAAACACAATGAGTTTTGCGATTGGATACGGGATCACGCCATGGCTGGATGACTTGGGAACTCAAGATTGTTTTATTAGTGCGGCCTTTGTCGGCTTGGCAATTTGCAGTGTTTATCTGTTGGTGATTAAATGGGGCAAGAGGTGGCGAGAAAGCAAGGCAGCACAATACTGGGCAATTGTGAAGGAGGAAGGTCATTAGGGAAATGAACAAATGTGGCAACAACCAGTATAATTTATGATTGTTCCTTCGACTCTCAACCCAGCTACTCGGCATGTGGTAGCCCCAAGCCTCATTCCATTGCCGTATAATAGAATAATGACCCATGGTACAAGTGTCACGAGGCATATCACCAAAGATCGGCGCGGGTAGAGGAACATGGAGATCACAGCTCTCGAGTCCGTCTGATTTGCGATGTGGACAATTGGCAGGCCGATCTTGAAATAAACATTATACAAGGTATAGCTGACTGCTCCCGAGAATCCACGTCATCCTTCCAGTGGTAGACATCTCTCTTTTTTCCCTTCTTTCTCATTATTTGTCCTGTGCGGACTCTGGAGCATGTCACTTTAAAATACAGTACCATCCGAATCTATCAGAATTGGGGGCTCCTTGGTATTGGGCCTACTGACTTCAGCAATTTCTCGACCGCCCTGGAATTGTTAGCACTTGTATTTTGGGGACAGGATGTCAACTCACCTTCCAACTACCAGCTTCCAAAAGCTGGGGTAATGTAAGCTCAGAGCCATTCAGCTCCCTTGTGAGCGATCTGTTCACCTCAGGCAAAAGTCGATCCAGCAGACCAATTGTCACACCGCGCCATTCTACAATGACGTCGTCGCCCGGCTCAAACATGGGCGCTACTTCGACGGCCTTGACGTTCTTGCGCCGACAGTAGTCTGCATAGTTCTGTAGTCCACGCTCCATGTCATCCTTTTTCAGAATCAGGACACCCAGGTCAATAAAGAGCCCACCGTTGCGGTACTCGGGTAGGCCTGTCAGCATCTCGGCACCGGCAAAGTGTATCTTCAGCAAAGACTGCATTGGCTGCATGAGTGAGTACGTAAGCCATTGCGTCAACTTGTGGAATGGCAGAATAGATTCCCAGGCGGCAGTCGGAGGTTGAGACTTGGGGAAGGCCGAGAAGCTTGGTGATGATGGCGACGACACAGCCTGAGGCATGGACGAGCAGGGCCATGCATCTCCCAGGGATACTCCGTCGATAGCCGTCCGAGACGCTGGCCAGATCGGAGCAAGACCAGTAATCAGAACGTTCCAAAGGACAGGGAGCACAACAATGGGCATGGAAGATGCCTGCGTCGTGGGATGCGACAAGAGGTAATCTGTGATTAAATGCGTCAGATGAATGACCATGGCTAAATTGGCACAAGTAGCAGCTTACCAAGCATGTATCCGGGCCTCCCGCTCTCTCCAAAGAACTCTCGCTTCTGGTCCAAGGCGTCGCCGAGCTTGATGAGCATCTCTGCCCGTCCTTCCAAGCCAGCCAGCTCGTTTCCAGGGCGGGATTGCACGCCTTTAGCCAGCGCTTCCACGGTCAACCTACGAAGACCATTCTTGTCGACCTGGAATTTGTTGTTCGGGTCGCCAGAAAAGAGGCCCTACAAATGTTAGTAATGGGTACGGGCTGCAGGGCGGCGGTATTCGTCTTCATACCGACTTGAACATCTCGAGACTGGCAATCGCCAGACCTTCTGATCGTCGATATATCCTGCCATTCTCGGCGCTCTTGAAAGTCCATGATGTTCCAGCACCAGCGTCAAGAAGTACGCTGATGAGGAAAAGGTCAATCAGGCGTCGGCACTTTTCACTTTCGTCAATGCCAACAAATGTTGAAAGGAGATTGGCTATCCTATCGCGGCCGCCGACACAAAAGTGTTGGTATCGACCGTGAGGGGGAATCGAGTTGAAGGGCGCATCGTAGTCTCTCTAGCAAGGTATGTCATTAGCAGCTGTACAAGCGCGTGTGCGCAATGGCAATCGCGACTAGAGTACTCACCTTGATGATTCCACAGACAAAGCTGATGACGTCGGAAAACTTGGACATGTCCACATCAAAATGGTTCAAGGTATTGGTCATTGCCTTTTCGGCGACAATCTTTGATCTTTCTCGGACTGCGCCCAGACTTTGCAAGTATGCGGCCGGGTCGAGATTCGGGTCCGGTGGCTTTGGCATATCCACCTTTGGCGAAAAGGGCGTCAGAGGCGTCGTGGGGATACTGGCGCCCGTTGCTGATGCCCGGTTGAACGAGCGTCCATTTGAGCTGATGGGTGACTTGAGCGTCTCATGGTCTGACTGAAAGCTTGTGGTCGAGTTTGAATCGCCTGGGAATTCCTTGCCCACCACCTTGGGCGCCTTTGGCTTCTTGGAGAAGAGACCCATTGCGACAACGGTGCTTGCTAGAAAACCCCTGTCGAACTTTTTTCTTCTTCTCGTATGTCTGGTAGTTTTTTTTTAGGGTGTGGTGTTTGCGGCAAGCAATTTTTTAGAAGCAGCTCGGGATGCGCTTTGATTCGTCGTAGGCCTCGGCCGGGTACAAGAGTTTATGGAATTGCAGAGGGATGCGACCTACAAACCGAACCAGTCCAGTAATAATAATACTACTGCTGTTGCTGCTGTATGGTCCGATCCAGTGACACACCTTATTCTCGATTGGTGAGGGGATGTGGGGTAATTAAGTGGCAGCAGCCCGGTCTGGAATTGAGCTGCTGAAATTTGATGGATTCGTTCCTGTTTGACCCGTTGCTGTAAAATGTCCAAGTCTTTGGACCGGGCTCGACTGTTTGGGAGCGCCAGTCAATGCGCAATGCTGGGAGTCGGGAGAAGTAAAGGTTCAACTCTAGTCTTCTCGCCTCGCGATATCCAGGATAATAAAGGAACAGCAGTGGTTGGCTGTCTCGTGATATAGTGCTTTGCTAATCTTTTGTTTTTCTGCTTGTCCGGAAAAAGTCGGTACCGGGCCAGCAGCTCTCGAGTAGCAGAGAGCGAAAGTTGAAGTCAAGGATCAGGTCGCACAATGATCAGGAAAAGTCAATTGCGGCCACCCGAAGATTTGAAAGAGAAGAAAGGAAGACGAGAAAACAGGAACAAGCCAGAAAGGGACCGCCCGAACAATTTGGTAGCTCGTCGTCAATATTTGAATAGCACCTAATAGACCGACCAGTGGTTCGGGGCTAGAATTTCCGCACAGCTAGCTACTACTGGATTAACAACATTTATTAACCTGGGCCAGCAAAAAGAAGCGGGTGTAGGTAGGTACTTTTCTTCCTACTCTTGCAATTTCGATTTCCCACCCCAAAAAGGCGCTTCCATATCCTGGAACTGGTAAATCACCCCTTTCCCTTGAAGCAGCGTATTTTTTTTTCTGGCGGGCTACCTACCTAACCTAGGAAATACACTACGACACTTTGGTCCCCCGACTCAGTGCCCTGGGCAGTGGATAGTCTTGGCTCCATCCATGGGGGCGGCCACCAACAGGAAATCAACAGGGACAGAGGGATCTCCAGGAACCATGTCACCGGGATGTCATGCCTAGTGGCCTGGGAACTGATGTACACTGCACGGTCCCAGTTCCAGAGCCCCATGGGTTCACATTAGGTCGGACATGGATTTGTCGATGATCGGATGCGCGTGTGGTGGCGCCCACTTGTTATTACTTGGGTCAAGGTTGTCTGGTGTAGGTACGGAGTAGTGGAGGAAGGAAATCAGTGACTGTCTTTACTGTCATTCAACGGCCGTTTTCCTTCTTGTTATTATCCCTCATTTCTATTACTATCGCCGTATTGCGCTTTGAGTCACTGCTCCTTCACAAGTGCAATGCTTGCCGAAAAGTTCTCATGTACCTAGTATGCAAATCTCCATAGTTTAGTGGTGTAGAGGATTGGCAGTAGTGAGTAGCATGCCAATTGGTAGTAGGTACCTGAATAGATCAGATCAATTCGTTGGATCCCGAATGCAAGCTATGCACTTGGCAGGGTAACGCATGTACTACATACGTACGCATACTGCAGTGTCCCTTGTGGGTAGGAGAGGGAATAGCATGTGTAGATGAAGAAGATCACCCACTGTATCATCCATTCTTGTGCCAGACACGGTTGATTCCCCTACTCCGCCTACCTACTCCCACCACTTGAATAAAAAGTCAAGTGAAATGTCATTAGCCGGAAGCTGGTCCGAAGTGCAAAATGATCGAACCGTGCCCCCCTGAATCGTATGACCCACGGCTATCCTAGCGGTAACGGAACATGGAATCGTTGATGCGCGGCGCAGCAATGACTTTTTTTTTTTGTTTCTTTTACCACCCCTCCCTCTCTCTGGTCTCTTTGGACCCCTACCTTCTCTCTATGTTTAGCACAGACCAACAGCAGTATATCAAGACTATTGCTGGCATTCGGGCTTCTTCAGGCATTTCCACGGTTGGCCATGATCGTCGAGTCAGGGTCGTCCCGATCTCGTTGCAAGTATTTCCCGACGCTCAAAGCCTCCAACAGTTGCACGCAGTAGCAGGAGTAGTAGGTCATGTACGTGCGCAGAGCGGCATAAGCTTACCTTATCCTTGTACACACTTGGCACTGGAGGACCCTCGAATGAGCACTGTCCCTTGCACACTCACGTCTCCCCGCGTAGATCCTGGCCCGAGCTTTTCCATCAATGTATGTTCACTCGCAGAGTACTCTGTACACACATGACCGCAGCCCATGGAATATAATTATATAATATTGTAGGGTCGTAGCTGTAGAGTACCTTGGACACGTCTCTGTTGTACAAACAACCCCCATGGTCATTCTGCGGGCGTCTAGTCAGTATACATGGACTAGACGTGGCTATAAGCTTTCTTGGTGCGGTCGCCAGCTGAATAGCCACCATGTTTGTGCCTTTTCAAGAAAGGCGTAAATCTGGGACTTGGGATGGCCTCAAAGGAATTCCTCTACCTAGAAATGACCGGCAGAATATGCAATCTTGTAAGTGAGCGCCACGAAAGGAGCATGAGATACACAAACAACTTGTAAGGCCCCCCAAAGCAATCAACCGACAGAGGCAGATCTTACTGCCCGACGACCAATGGCTCGTTCCGTTACTGCTGGCCGGAGCCAATTTGAACATGTCGAACCGGACCCCGATGATATCGATAGTGGCCAAGACTAGCCGACAAGTCTGGTGGGCTTGCACCGGCTCATGCTCGGCGAGTCGGGTTGGTCCCCTCAAGCATTAGTGTACACGCCTCGTGGCCACCCGTCGTCTGGTATGTTGGGGACTCGGCGCTTTTTGGATCTGCATGGGCATTGATATTCTGGAATCCTGAGAGTTCCCCTGACATGACTTGCCGCTGTTGATCATGACTTGTCCAGCCTGTAGCTATCGCACAGCAACCGACCCGGCGTTGAGATCGCGGAGCTACGACCTTGACTAGAGCTTGAACGGACCTCTTGCTAGAATATCTAGCTTGGAATGCTGACGGCCAGATGGCTTGGCAAAACTTGTCCCCTTCTCCTGCCAGAATCGTTGCGTCGGCCGCCCAACTTGTGCGGGCGCTGGCAAACATTTATCCACAGATGATGCCCAAATCCGCGTTCTCAATTAATCTGTACATCCAAACGACTCTTTGGACCTAGTGCTTAGAGCTTGTCACGTAGCGCAGAGCCGGACATTCTCTTTTGCCAGAAGAATCATCGGCCGAAAAATGACATGGTCAGATTCCCAAGAGTCGATCAGTGTGTGCAATGGGATCCCTTGATACCGCTAGGTAATCGAGTTGGGAGTTGGAATATTCTCGATACTGTCCACGGTTGTTGTCGAGCATTGCCTTCGGGGCCTGCCTCCTCAATCACGAGTTCAAGCACCGTACCCAGCTACAGAGTTGTTTCAATTCGCTCAAGAGTCGGCCATTCGATGGCCTTCACTCATGCCACCAAGCAGCAACATCTTACAATGTGGAGAACAGGAAATGTCGATTCTATAAGAGGTAGCACCTAGCACATGCTCAGAGAACAAGAGAGGAAAATTGCTTATTAAAATGCATCAGAGGCACGGCCCTCCTGAGATTACCCCAATGAATACCGCTCGGGATCCATCTTGCTTCCTAGCCTATTCCACGATGCACAGCATCAGTCTATCAGATAAAGTCCATGGAAAACCAGGCTATCCCAACAAGTGCGGCCTTGTCAATTTTGGTTTTTAGACACAAGCACTTTTTCTACTATAGTTACAAATGTGCATCAGCTTGGAGTTCATCACGAATGACCCCCATGAAGGCTCGCATATGCTCATGGACATACAAGACCGCTTGAAAAATTGACGTCCATCGTGCCTCAATCAAGGGGGATGAAAGTCGAGCATCCGGTGAAATTTCCATTATTATTTCTATTGCATAAGGCAGTTACTGTTTTGACAACACGTATAATAGAGATTATCCATAACACAAGGCAGCACCAGTCTCTGATCTACTATGTACTCGAAGTAATCTGATTACTGAACAAAGACCGACGTCATGCTACCAGGAGATGATTCCACAATATAGTCAAGTACTTGTCCGGATGGTGTTACTTTAGGGTCGAAATCTAGTGTACACGGCAATTTCAAATCCACATAAAGCAATGATATATATCAATCTCCCCTCTGAGAGTCCAACATAGTATTGTGGTGATGCCTACGCAAATGACCAGCCCCTGCATAGCTGGTATCTATTACACCAACTTCGATTGATAGTTAATCATTCAAACAATCTCTGGGCGCAGGTGACTCAAGGAATGGGTTTCCATCAAGGATCAATTGGCCATTTGATTGGTCTTTGAGGCACAAGACGTATTACATTCTATAATATTGTCACGTGCACTATTTGATTGTCACCCCGTAGTCACGTAGTGGGGTTTCCTGGTGAATACAAGAAAAGGATTTATACAGTAAAGAGGCTGGCCAATAAGCCGGCATGTGATATGGTCTAGTATGTATACGGATGTCCTTGTTTGTGGGCATTCCAGATGAGGTCTGCGTCAGATCGACCCTCGATCGACTGCAACATGCTATAGTACAAAAGTCTTGAAATACGGGGCTCTTTGCTTGCCAGCACCTGCCAGGACTACATATCATCCATTAGTTTCGCCGGGACATTCTCTTCCTCTGGTTTTCGAGCATTCGGTTCATGGCCTTTTCTCTCTCTTCCTGTGCCCTCTTCTTTTCATAGTCCTGTGCCTTTTTGAGGGCGGCTTTGGCAGGACCTCCAGTGTAGTCCTCAATGCCCTTTTGTAGATTGGTCATGTTCTGAGTGGCACCGTCCATCATGCCGCGGATGCCTCCTCGCGAAGGAGCTTGATACTGCACTCCTGTCGGCGAAATCGATGCCGACTTGCCCGGGATGGCAGGCAGCCCAACTAGGCGGCGAATCATAGGGTTAAGTGTCGCCGTTCCCTGTGTTACGGTTGACAGGGCAAAGACGAAGAAGAACCACTGGACGGCAGCAGGGAACCACATGGTGGCGACAAACATAAAAGGGGTGAGACCGTAGAGCATGAACTTGGCCATAGACTCGCTCTGCGGGGTCGGGTTCAGGTTGGCCTTTTGGTGCTGCACCATGGTAAGAGCACTCAGAGCGGCCGAGGCCAGGGGGAGGATGTATGTGGGATCATATACGGTCAAATCGGTGATCCAAGCAAAACCTCCAGTCTCAAGGCTGGGCACCGGCAGTGCCGCCATTCCTCTCAGGAGACGGAACATGCCATAACTGAATGGAATAACAGCCAAAGGAGGTAGAAACGTCTTGGAATATGACACTCCTGCACGCTTGGTGATTGCCTGAACTCTTGCTTGTACCTTCATCCGCTGCATGGTGTCTACATCCTTGTCCCACATAACTTCCTTGGCTTCTGCCGATGCCTTAACAAATTCGGGATCCTTGTGCAGCAGAGCTAATTTGGAAGAATGTTGTTGAGCAATGACAGTAGGATAGAACATTAAAAGTCGAACGCCGAATGCGGCAGCGGCAATGGAGGCCCACCATGGCAGCCCAGTATAAATGTAAATGTGTTCGAGAAGCCACTCGCACATGGCGGTGGGACCCCAACCAAAGTCCAAGCCCAAGTGCTTGAGGTAGCCGATTTGTTCTGGAATATCAAGAATTGAGGCCGATTCGAGGTCGCTAAATAGCTCAGGGCTGAAAGAAGATGCGGCCGGGTCGGCAGAGCTTTCGAATACGTCTGGGCTGCCTGTGGTATGCTCTGCAAAGTGTGGCTCGGGAGAGGACAGTGGCGAGGCGGATGTAGTGGTTTCGTTGCTTAGCCCAGTCTGGGCAGCTGATGAGGTTGCTGAGCTTGCATTCTTACTCTCGGAAATCTGTTGGCTTGAACCAAAGGGCCAGAGCGACAAAGATCGCGAAGCACCAGCCGTGGCACCCAAGCGAAGAGAGTTGCGGGAAACGGAGGACAATCGGGGCAACGCGCTGCTATGGCCCAGGAGAGCTCCCGAGCTAGGACTCCATGGCTGTGAGGAACGTCCAAATCGTTGAATCTGAGAGTATTGGCGCGTAGCAGTCTGCCATGACGAGATTGTCTGGACAATGAGGTCAGTTTAGTACCGAATCGACGTCCGTCTGGGTTGCGACAAGCTGCAAAAGCCGGGGACGAATTGCACATACCTGTCGTGGACGTGGAATACTTTGGCGCAGCCCTGCTACTGGGCGTGAGATGGAAAGTCCTCTGCTTGGTAACATGGTGCCAGGTTGTGGTGCAATGCGACTCTGGTTCACTTTCAGACTCCAGAAGTCGAAGAGGCACTGACTGTGTGAATTGTCGTTTGGGATACCAGGCCATAAATTTTTTGGGCCAAACCCAGAACGCGGACCAAGCGCGGTGCAGTTGCATGCATTTAAGCGGGTGGGTTCCGGCTCGCCGCATGGCCAGGGTTTACCTTTATGTAGTGGCCCGATGGTACCCAGTAAGACGGCACTGCCTTTCTTCAGTGGCTTGATTCGCGGGATAGTAGCTAATCAATCAACTATTGCCTTTTGCAAGTCATGGCATTCATAACCCAAGCACATGTCTAGATGTAGATTTATAATGCTTGATCAATATTATCATATCATGGTAGTCTATTTTGCTGTTATTTTTGAGGTGGCGCCGTTTGACAATGTACAAATGATCCATTTAACCTCGGCTGTCTTGATCAATGCATTGTCAAATACCTCTCCTGGAATCCATCTACAATAAAATTTTGTAAATAGAAGGTCAAGGCAATTCGAGGACATTGCGTAGCTATTCCAGGCCAAACATGTCATCTGTTGGTTGCGCCGCTGGGGCTCGCTCTCTGTTGATGACAATCACCTTCTCAGCCTCCATCTATCGTCTTCTACATCTGTCCGACCTTTGCTTGAGCAGCTGAGAGTCATACGCAGAGTATATAGTCTATTAATTGCTCCATATTATTACCTCCCCATTATTCCATGGCTGTCAAGTCCTGGAGCTCCGGGGTAGGTGGAGTTGCCTTTTCGCGAATCTCAATGCCCGGTCCAATAGGATGGGCGGTTCGTCGTGACAGTGGGAAGACCTATGATTGCGGTCAGTATGTGTTGACTCGGGAGACGTCACGGTCATCCGTCAAGGAATTTTCGGGAGCGTCCCAACGATGGTTCGTACCTTGGTGCCACTCCATCCCAGCCTGAACGCAGCTTCATGTGCAAACAACTCTCCAAATCCCAACATCATGCCGTTGATGAATGGCAGTAACAAGTTTATGGCAGTTCCCCGGATCAGACCCCAGATCGTGGGTGGCTGATATAGAATCATGGGCGTCGAGGATGAAGATGATTCGCGAGATGTCGATGCTTCTTCGCCGGCCGAGTATTGCTCGCTGTCTGAGTGAATCGTGACACCAGACTCGGCGAGGTGAGAGGACGGTTCGTCGGCGGTAGCCATAACTGCAATGGGCGGGTTCTCGCAGAGTATCAGAGCTACGATTGGTAGCTGGTATTGTCTGTCAGGAATCTGGGTGGAATTGTTGGTTCAAGTCTGCTTACGTTTGGTTGATACTGATGACCTAATATTAATAGTAGTCAAGAAATGAGGCAGATGGAGATGGTGCGGTAGATTGTACCTCGAATGCAGGTTCGGATTTGCGCGTTGGTTGCAGCGTCGGAGTAAACTGGGTACTATGAGGCGTCGAAACACTGCTAAACGCAGGCGCGCATGCTGCTAGGAGCGGCAGTCTGACTTTAGCGGTACACAATAGGTAGGCCTCGGGGCAGATAATAGGTAGGCATGGATGTACAATGAAAGACTAAGTAACAGTGAAGTGCTGCGGAAGTTCGGTACCTTAATGATCCGCGCGGGGGGTCCCCAAGTCTGGCGCCCCTCAGCCCATCGTAAATCCACAGAGCCCACTGCGGGGAGCTTTGACGTAGCTGGAGCTGCCTGAAGCTGGGTCATATCATTCATTAGAACATCTTAGAAGCCTCAGATCTTTGTAAGGTATCCATGTCTGGCGCACATTACTCTGTGTTTCATTAGACTTGGTACTTACCACCTCTCCAGCGAAACTCCTATTGCTTCGTCTTTTCCTCCACCTTCTTGACTCTGACGCCTGCAGTTACTACTGCAACCCACGACGATTGCCAATAACCCACTTCCGTGCTCGGCGCCACTTACTGCTTGACCAGTTGTTCTCCTCTACAATCAGCAATCCATCTCAGTCGATTACAACTACCTTGATTATCTGGTCATCATGGCCGGCGATACCGATCACGACACGCTGGTCTTGCAGCTCCTCGAGTTCGTTCCCAATGCCACACCCGAGCAAGCAACTCAATACCTGTCAGCAAACAACTGGGATCTCGACGCCGCTGCAGCATCGCTCATGGCTGATGCTGATGAGGCCGAGGAGGATGCTGGCACAGAAGCAGCTCCTGCTTCTTCCTCTTCAGCAGCAGCTGCACCACCCGGATACACTGGTCCCCGAACTCTCGACGGTCGCCCTGCACAAGGTTATTCGACTTCTTCCAGCGGCTCGGCCAAGAAGACTCAACCCAAGAAGAAGGGCCTCGCCACGCTGAGTTCACTTGGTGGCGGCGGACATGATCACGACGATGATGACAGTGATGACGATGACGATGATCCCCACAGAGACACATACGCCGGCGGTGAGAAGAGTGGCCTAGCCGTTCAGGATCCCAATTCGGCCAAGGGCAATGCTCAACGCATTCTGGATGACCTATTGGCCAAGGCAAGATCGTAAGTACTAAACCATGCCTCAGCGTCGGCTAGATCTCATATTGACTTTGAGATTCAAGACAGGCACCACGTCCCGAGGCTTCCTCGGCAGGTCCTTCAACCGCCGCCTCTTTCCGCGGAACCGGCCAGACACTAGGTGGCGAAGGAGTAGAGAGCCGTACGATCCCCGACCCTCACGGCGCCGCCTCTGCCCCTGCCTCTGCAAACGCACCTGTACAAGAACGACGACTTCACCTCTGGCGCGATGGCTTTAGCATTGACGACGGCCCCTTGCGACGTTTCGACGACCCTGAGAATGCGGAAGCACTGCGCATGATTCAGCAGGGCCGCGCTCCCCTTCAACTGATGAATGTTCGCTATGACGAACCCATAGACGTTAAGCTTGAGCAGCACGACGAGGACTTTAGGCAGCTTCCAAAGGTGTACAAACCCTTTGGTGGCGAGGGCAGACGACTAGGCAGTCCTGTTCCTGGCGACAGCGGCGCCGCCACTGTGCCCGTTGCTGCCCCGCCTGCTTCAGCCTCAACCGCAGCTCCTTCTACTGCAGCTACCAATGTAGACAGCTCCCAGCCTACAATCATGATTCGCATTCAGATGCCCGACGGTACTCGACTGCCGGCAAGATTCAACACGACTCACACTGTGAACGATGTGTACAACTTCATCACCCAGTCGTCACCCGACTTGCGCTCTGGAGGATGGGTTCTCGCCACCACGTTCCCCAACAAGGATCACACGGACAAGTCGTTGGTGCTAGGCGATATGGCAGAATTCAAGAAGGGCGGCACAGCCATGGTTAAGCGAAGCACATGATGGAATGTGCCTAGAATTGCATGATAAACCTTGCTAGCATTGACTTATGAAGAGCTTTTGACTTGCAGGTTACTACCGTCCATAGACACAATAGTGAAACCTGAAAGTTTCGATAATAAATTCTAGATGCCTGCCAGCACCCGAGCAATATCAGGAATCTTTTGCAGAAATACATTCAGTACATCTCTGCCCATTGACTTGACGGCCATTATGAAAATAGCATTGCTCCCACGTATTTACGCAAAACAAGCAGACTTGAGAATGGTGTCATTGTCAAATATGAGGCTGGCACTGTTACTAGGGCAAGAAATGGATAAACTACAAGCCAATCCCCCCATCGAGTCACCTAAAGCCGTCCGTACAAAAAATTATGCAGCCTAGCACGTTGCCAACATGCTCGTCAGGGCAGTCTTCTCAGCGCTTGTAATGCTCAGATCCCAGTAAGACTTGACTTGAATCCAGGCTCTTGCGTAGACGCAATAGAAACTCGACAATGGCGGCTTCCACGCGTCCGGGCTTCTGTCTCCCTTGGACTGGTTGACATTGTCAGTGACAGCCCACAGCTGAGGCCGCACAATGTCGTTGGCGTATTGTTGGCGTTTGTCAGTGGTCCACTCATTGGCTCCCGACTACAAACATGAGTTAGTTTCTCCAAGATTCTCGAGTGAGCCGGTACATACAATCCAAGCATTTTTCAGTGGCACCATGTGGTCAATGTCGAGATCAGACGCATCTGTCCAACTGGCTCCGTCATATGGAGATGTCCACTTGCCAGCCGTGGCCTTGCATGAGCTATCCACTGTGATGGAGGTAGCGTCACGCTTGAGAACAAACTCTCGGGTGTCACAGGTTCCCGAAATCGTGATCCAAGTAGGAAAAAGATCGCGATCGTAGTCATCACCGCTGGCAGATGCCTTTACTGTGAGCGCAGCCAGCTGGGTTTTGGCAGCCGCAGCGGTCGGGATGCCAGACTAGACAAAATATGTTAGTTAATGGAATATACGGACTGACAGACAGCTTTATCGAAGTCAGCCGTCAGACAAATATGTTCAACCAACATACAGGACTGGGCAAAGGGGCTGGCTCGGCAACTGGGTCAGGCTTTGGAGCAGGTGCTGCAGTAACAGCACATGCCGACAAAAGGCTGGCAGCGAAGACGGTGAACTTCATTTTGTGTGAGAGTTGGATTAACCACTGGTCTGTGATGTTGACTCTGACAAGAAGCTGGCTCCGAGGACGAGGAGATTCAAGACGAAAGCTTTGAAAGATACTGCCGGTTTATATGCTGAAGGCGACCGAGGGCCTACCAGGTCGATTCCGATGCTAGTGCTTTCCACATCTCGTGTGTATACTTGTAATTGTAAAAGTGGGTTGGAAACCGCCGGAAATCGAGAAGAAACTGATTATAGTTGAGGCTATATGAAGTAGAGCTCCAGTACCCAGCTCCAGTGCGACCCTACTTGGCTCTCGGGTAGTACTGTGCTCCTGGAGGCAGCTGACCTTGGTCATGGCATATCGCGACGGGGAACGATCGTCAGGTACGGTGGGGTTTGATATTGAGTATTACTGCACTACTACCGAGACGGATAACCTATATAGCCTTCCTAGAAATACGATTATTTAATGAATCTTGCTGGGTATTCTCAGCGGAATAAGCAAAACCAGGTAAACACATGAGCTTATATCTCTCACCGCCTATGAGCACCTCAGTAATCGTCTATCTTAAGAATCAGATCTCAACTCCACTCAGATCATTGCCAGTGCCGTCTGTCAAGCTCGTGCCAATGTTTCACATGATCTATTGGAGAGTAGTGTCTAATGCCAAGACAATACATGCCCACTGAAGTTGATGGGGACAGGACACAACCTGCCTATTTCGGATACCATTCTCGAAAAGCCATGAATTTTGTAGGCCAATTGTAGACAAGTCAAATAACCCCACGAATTCTAAACCGTGCATATCTGCACCCAATAAGGTTCCATTCGATTGACGAGCGCCTGCCATAAGCTTATCACTTGAATGCCGCCGTCACCCTGGTAAAGCCTTGGCAAGGGGTTCAGGCCCACACGTCCGAGAATCAAATTAGATTGCCTGTCATTAATTCGTGGCTCAAATGCTTATCGCGATTGGTCATTGTAGCCGGGTATCGGCACCTTCTCGTGGCCTTTTTGCTCGATGCCATTCGCGTACAGACTACTTTGCCTGTTCTTGATATAAAGGAACTCGCTTACAAGTGGAACATCGCCAGGCATCTGCGGCACTGTACCATCCACCGATGCCCTTTCTTTGCGTTCCCTGCACAGACAGTACGTATTAAAGGCGCAAGTACGGATCGCAGCCGCAACCACATCCGTGACTTGATGGTCGAGAGCGAGCACTTGTATCTCTCTCATGCGGTAATCTGAGCTTGTCCGGGGGCAGACACGGGCCCGTCAAGGAACTTGAAGCTTTCTCGAGCAATCTGACAATTTAGCTTGGCCGCGTTGAAACGCGCCTCACCCGGCGGCAATATCACCATGAGATATGTATTGGTAGTGAACTGGCGCGGTGTATCTCGTTAGATTCCTTTCTAGGACGGGGGAGACTGAACACACCTTGAGGCAGAATATGGAAAATCGACCGCCAGCCTTGTGCTCCATCAAGGTGAACTGCTCTGCATTTCTCGGAGTCCCAGTAAAGCGGCTGATACTCTGCTTAAAATGTTTGAGAATGTTGGAGATGCGCTCCTGACGGTCAGCTGTGGGATTGTTATGCCCCTCTTCCGAAGTCCAGTTGGACACGACCAGGAAGCTGGTCCGCTCGAATAAGAGCAGTTCCTCGGCCTCAATCAGGATGCCTAGCGCTTCCAACTGAGACTCGATAACGGACAAGTTTGGCACAAGATCGTGTATGATGCTAGCCCATGCCTTGTATAGGGACTGATCCCATATGGATGTGGCAAAGGGGGTCACATCAAGGTCTCCCGTGAATCCTGATCCTTGCCTGAATTCGGCCGTCTTCTGCCGCACGAGGCGTACACGCTCCATGAAGACATTCTCGCGCACATGCGTCATGATTAAATCAAGCTTGTGGATGAGCACGTAGACCTTGGCCCCGGGTGAGTATTGGGTAAGTGCCGACATAATGGAGACATAGGTTGCCATGTCCCGATCGACATCCCGAGACTCGATATCAAAGACGTAGATGAGCACGCCAACGTTTGAAAATACGTGCACGCGCTGCTGCGAGAGATAATTCTCCATGAAGGCTTCTTGGCCACCACAGTCCCATAGGTTTAGGGTCAAGTTGCCAAGGAACTTGACATGGGATAGATCAATATCAATGGTCGCGCCGCTGGGGTAGTAACGGTCAGCACAGAAATCGGACCAAGTTTATTTCCCCCGACGGCAACCTTTTAAAACCACTGGTTATCGAGGAACCGCTTGCCGGACGGGGCCATGATTGGCGTAGCCGTATCGGAACGGACGAGAGCGACTCACAGCCTTCGCGTATCTCTTGCAATGTAGTTGCTGAATATGATGCTCCTCATGCTCGATTTTCCAGAGCCACTCTTGCCCATGAGCAGGACCTTTTTCTTCTTGGGCTTCTTGACTTCGTTTCTAATATCGCCGGTTACGGCACTCTGCCCCGCCGGCAGAGACGCGGGCACCTCGAATTCCGACATGTTGCACCTGTTGGCGACCTGCTTTGATCGATCGCTCGTTCGCTCGGTCGCTTGGGGACAGGAAAGAAGCTTTGCAATCTAGGTGTCGTTGTGATTTGATGACTTGCGCCCCGACGTTCCGAAGCAAGTGACGCTCACTTGTCTGCGTGCTTATCGCCGTCTTCTTCTCCGTCTTGAGCTTGATTAGCTCAGTCACTGGCGGCGCATTGTTCAGAAATGTCCGCGTCAATCTCCTGCCCCTTTGACCCCCCACTGATTCTTGATCCCGAGAGAGTAATGGTCGTTGCTCGTGCAAGGGCGCAGTAGATGTAGGTGAGTATGTTGCGTAGAGCTACCACTTGGGCCCTGCTGGCGGCTGGCGTTGTTCTGGATGTTGGTTCTCGGTAACCAATCGCCAATGTGGTATCTCCGGCCCCCACATTGCAATTCTACCTAACAACTCAGGCCTCTGTTCAATTGTTCGCGACGCGTTCTAGTGCGTCACCTAGCCTTGGTAGCTATCATTTTGTAGCAATCTCATTCGCCAGCCGGCACGTGCCTAAATAAACATTACGCCCAGATTTGTTGATGCCGGGATCAGGACGGGGGACGCGATATTGGCTTTGCTTTTTAGAGTTTGAATTGATCATGTTCAAACTTGGGTTCTGACCAGCATTGCTGAAACGTACAAACCTCACTTTGTAATGTAGCCATAATTGGTAGTCGTCCTCCGTTGCAAGCTGACAGTGGATCGCAAAACCAAGAAACCAAGCCTCGTACATGTGAGGTTCTAGTTCCCACTATTGCCATCATCGTTGCCGCTGCGATCATTCGTGGTATGACTACCTACTAATGCAATTGTACAACGCTCAATCAGAAAAGTTCTCGTGCCATTCGACATGAAAATGTGTTAATTTTTTGCCCAAGTCAAAGAAAGCTTGTAGTACGAATTAATATGAGCACGAACACCTTTGTAGGACTTGCATCACCTTCGGCAAGGCAGGAGGGACCTTTTAGGTAGGGCCCATCCTGCCTAGGATTGGACCCGTCACGGCCCAATCGTACAGGTAGGTACCTACGCGGTTCCTCCACCTACCGGATCCCCCAGTCACCATGCTCACGACACACCCGCATTTCAGCATCCAAAGCATCCGCCGCAGCTTGACGCATTGACAACCTTGGAACGTTGTCGTCGTCTTCCTCGTCCTCCACTTCCTTGGTCATTCTTTAGGTCGAACAAGCGACTTTTGCATTGACGGGGAAAGTTTTCCACCTCAACGTTGCCTAGTTTGCCATCTTTCGGCCACCTTCTCTGTTCACCTTTCCTCTTCATCGAAACAAGAACCATCAATCAATCAATTTTATTCGACCAAAGTGTAAGAGCATTTCCTCTGCCGAGTCACCTTATTAGCAGAAAACGAGGCTGGCTGGCGTACCTGGTCCTTACCTACCTGGGTAGCTGATAGCTGACATTTACTCATCAGCCCAACGCCCAAGGACATTCCTCATTAGCCTCCACCCTCCATTCCATAGAGCGACTTCTCGTCAGCATCGAGATAAGCTCGATTTGGCCATATCCTCCGTCTCTTGTATCGCCATCGCAACCCGTCGTGCAGTCGGCGACTCTTTCGCTCTTCACCTTGCATCATCCTGGTTGAAGACAGCCCTGAGATCGGATCAGATCTGATTGGACCCCTCTCGGAATCTCATCGCCTACGATCACCCACTGCGCCCCTCCATCCGCAAAACAACAACCCTCATCCTGGACTCGTCTACCATTTCGGCGGGGTCTCCTGCCCATAATCACAACGGCATTCTCGACGCCATGGAAGAAGATCCTTCTACCGCTCCGGTGCCTGCACCCGCACCCGAAGTTGAGCTCGTCTCTACACCTGTGCCCCACGACATCCATGAAGATACCCTTGGCGGAATTGATGGCTCGCCCCAGGTAGCGTCCGCGCACGGCATCTCCGAGCAGCCACAACAACAACAATACCACCAGTCCCCGCAACCCTTTGAGCAAAGCATACACATGTCACCAGGCCGCGATGCCGAGATAGATCCTCATACACGGTACCACACACCCCCCATGCCGACGCAGCAGCAACCACATTCTATATCAAGACCGCCTTCTGGGTTGTCTGGTAATGGCGGCGATCGACACTACAGCGACCATGCGTCCCGTGGCAGCAGCAGCGCCGAGCAACAGAATGGCAGGAACCACGTCGTCATCAAGGTCGGCATGGTTGGCGACGCGCAGATTGGCAAGACGTCGTTAATGGTCAAATACGTCGAGGGCAGCTGGGACGAGGACTACATCCAAACATTGGGCGTCAATTTCATGGAGAAGACCATCAGCATTCGCAACACCGAGATCACCTTCAGTATCTGGGATCTTGGCGGCCAGAGAGAATTTGTCAACATGTTGCCACTGGTGTGCAACGATGCCGTTGCCATCTTGTTCATGTTCGACCTTACGCGCAAGAGCACACTGAACAGCATCAAGGAGTGGTACAGACAAGGGCGAGGCTTCAACAAGACTGCCATTCCCATTTTGGTTGGGACAAAGTATGATCACTTTGTCAATTTTCCCAGGGAGGATCAAGAAGAGATCTCCAATCAGGTAAATTGTGCGCTGCTCTCTAGGTACTCCTCATGCTAACTGTTTGTCCCTCAGGCTCGGCGATTTGCCAAGGCTATGCGCGCCGCTCTTATATTCAGCAGTACAAGTCACAGTATCAATGTGCAAAAGGTGGGCTCCTTCATAGACGCCGTCTGAGTTTGTCTTGCTAACATGATTTGAAACAGATCTTCAAGATTGTCCTCAGCAAAGCCTTTGACCTAAAGTGTACCATACCCGAGATTGAAAATGTCGGCGAACCCCTGCTCCTATACCAGTCGTGTTAGAGCTGCCATGTCCGGCAAATAACTGTTTTGCCCGTCAAATCGGATCGACCTGGCAAAAACATGCAGAAACGATATCAGTGACCAACACCACGACCATCGCACTCTTCGATGAACACAGCTGCCGGAATCTGGCCGATATGTACATGATGGTCCTCGTCGACTGGATACGCCACTGTCTTTTCAAACGTGGCATTGCCATGTGTATCGCTGCAGGTCAGGTTTTTTTTTTTCACAAACTACACATACCATCTTTGTTTCATTTGTCTTCTAATCCACACAACAACCAAATACGAAATCGGCTGCATTTGCATCAGCGAGGAATTCCACGCGATGGGGGAGTATGCGGACAAGGGACAGTTGCCTTGAGCTGAGAGCCGGGCCAGAAGGAAATATGGACATTTGGGCGTCAAAAGGATGAAATCCCCCAGCAATTTGATTTACATGAATTTGAGAGCCCCTCAAGCCGGTCTGCGGAACTTTTGTCAGGCCGTGAATGAGACCACAATCACCAGTTGAGTGTAACAGAATCAGTTGCCGGTTTTTGGTGTAAGATATAGAATTGTAATGCTCGCTGTCCTTGATGCTCCAAGAACTCCGCAGATGTAGAGAAAGGGTCCTGAAGTAGTACTCAGACAAGCACAATAAAATGAGTAAAGCATCCGAGGCATTAAATTTGCGTTCGTGACTCTGAGCCAGAAGGCAGACCAAGAATCAGTTGCAATTGAACATCACGAGCTGGTTCCAACGGCTGCGTAAAGTGATGAGCGGCTGACGATATGAAAATCGGTATGATCATTGGTAGATTACAATTCATTCGCTTGAGAATGCTAGCAAAATTGAACATGAGCTCGCCCGCCTTGGTTACCGTGAACAGTTTGCGCCTGTCATTTTGAACAAAATGTGACACTTTTCTGCTGCATCACTCCGGTTGGCAACTCGATTAGGTGCGCAAACAAGTGCTCAATCATCCTTGGAGTCCTCGGAGCCACCCTTCTGCTTGGCTTCGCCCTCTCCCTTCTGAGGATCTTCCCGAGGGTGTTCTCCAGCCGTCTTCTTGCTTGGCATATCAGATGAGCTTGTTGCCACCTTGGTATCCTTCTTCTCAATCTATCACAATGGTCAGTCAGGGTTTGGTTCAAGTCTGTAAGCACATATATAAGGTGCCGTAGCCAACGTACAGTCTCCTTGTACTCCTCTTGATCCTTCTTCTTCTCTTCCTTGTTCTCCGACCCAGAGCTACTGTCACTGGAAGGAGGAGGCACATTCTGGCCGGTCTGAGACGATTTGTTGGCAGCTTTTGCGTCGCCCTTGGAGCCATTCTCTGGTTTCTTCTTGCTGTCATTGTCTTCTTTCCCCTGGTCGTCATCGTCGTTTACGTCGGTCTTTTTGTCTTTGCCGACATCTTTTGATTCGCTCTTGTCTTTGCCAGTATCTTTTGATTCGTTCTTGTCCTGCGTGTCATGTTCATCGGAGCCGTGGGTAGATGCATCTCCGTGGTCGGCCCCATGTTCATCATGACCACCACCTTTCTTTGAGCCGGAGAGGAGATACGCAAGTCCGACGACGGTGACACTGGCCGAACCCAAGAGCCTACCATACAAGTCAGTCATTGTCGTCAAGTTCATACGAGTCAAGCTGGAGTGGACAAGTCGACTGAGCGCCTCCTCGGCGTACCACACAGCAATGCCTCAGCCGAAATTGACACACGTATATTACTACTTACAGAGGCATGTCGCTCGACTTTGCAGCACCATGTTGGCTTGCGTAGGTTCGTCTGGCAAGGGGAAGCGCAGGCTGACGGCCCAGCGATTGTCGAGAAGCTGCGCGGATGGCGGAACGCACAGAAAATAGACGGTAAGACATGATTGAATGGATATTTGTCTGTTTATATGTGCTGTTAGTGATTGAAAATCATGCAGATACAATCGATTGAGACCCATTGAAGCCCGTGGCTTACTTTTGAATGCGTAATACGGCGCTACAGTTATCAGATGTGACAGAGAGGAGAGAGTGAGGGGGATGGAGGGAGGAAGAGAGGCTCAAGAATGATACAAAGTCACAAAAGACACTTTTCTGGTAGATTGGAAGCAGGAGTCTTGAAAGTCAATTGGAGGTTGCACGCTGGGCATACCATTTTACATGTACCATTTCAGGGTGGCTGGCTGGCTGGCTGGCGGCATCGTCGGAGCATTGAGCATCCACCCACATACCGTCGTCACCTCGATTCAAAGTCCTCAGGCACTCAACTACATACAAACACACGGCAAAACAGCCAAGGCGGTACGTACATGATCCAATACCTGACGGCAGAACGGTACGGAGCAGATCGTACGCGAGGGTAGATGCAACCATGAGCTGATGTGGGGAACAAGGAACATCAAAAAGCTGGGGCAGCTTCTAGTGACTGCTACTAGGCTCGGTACGATCTCCCTCGACGTCACGACATGAGCCTGTCGCTGGGACATCACCGAGGCACCCCTGCATCTCCAGTTTTTGGCCCGTTACCGGGCTTGTCAGGTACCGGGAGCTAACGCCAAAGAGGCTTGAGATGCAGCGGCTACGAGCGGGCGGCATCTGTTGTTCTCCAATACGAAATAAAACCGAAACAAGAGAATAGACTACTCTAATGTCTCTCGAATGTCGCAATGTGGTATCACTGTAAAGATGATTGGGCCCCAAGTGGTAATGGCAAGGCATACTCTGTACGAAGATCAAGGTGATATGGTCAACAAGGACGACTTGATTTGGAAATGTCCAATTACAGCTAGGTTGGCTAGGTGATAATCGTTTTGTGGTACACTTTGAATTTTGTATATTCATCAAGGGCGACCACGCAGCCTGAAGCTGGCTTTGGTCCTCTATAGGACGCAGTCGACCATCTGATTCGTTCTAACAGCTTTACTACAAATGAGTAGAAGAATTCTCTCAAGTCACCCAAATCCCTTCTTATGCCCGCGGAAAGTGTATTACGTAAGATGAACAGCCTCCCATACAATCGATCTTCGCGGTAAATCTGTCATGTGCCATGACCATCGTCCCAAAGTCCTCCCTATCAATACATATGGTACTATGTATTGTTAGACTGTGTGTGTTACTGGAGATCCGAGAGATTGAGAAATCATCTACCTTGATGTCGTTTTGCTACCGCCTCTAAACAGGAATGGATGCTTATTCGAGGCGTGGCAGTCCTTGACGGCTGAGACGTGCCAGGAATCTGTCGTTTTGCATCTCTTCGCGCTGTATGTCAAAGACGACCTAGTACAACGGCGCCATATCGTGTGGTCCACACGGTCGTGCATCGCCGCTTGCTCTTCGTTTGTCAAAAAATCGAAGGGGGCCGGTGTGTGTCGCCGTATCCACTCTGGTTGATTCGGGAATGCTTGCCGCGGACTGCTCTTGATCATCTTCTTGTTCGATATAGTTTTGGAATGACGGGACTACATGGTCAATGACTGCATCTTCAATGCAAGTGGCTTCTTCAGGTGTAAAGTATGGACCACTACTGTATACTGCGTCCGTGGTAGCAAGTATTCTTTGCTCCGAGACTCTGTTCTTTGGCAGGTTGCGAAGATCGCAAAGCAAAACACGAATCTTGTAACCAAGTACAGGGTCGGATTGTAATTCTGAGGTAGTTGAAAGTGGCAATGCTGCGTTCCGTCCGCGATTCTTTGACTTGGCCATTTCAACGAGAGTAGAAATGCCGTGACTTGCCGGTATTAAAAGACACAAATTCAGGTCAAATTTTTTTCGTAATATCTTGGAAGGTAAGAAGTCACAAGCAGCTGTGTTTATCTTCAACCATTTCAACTGAAAAGAGGTCGGAACACAAGCTTTATGCCCTTGCTTTCGACTCATTGGAATCGCAATGCCCAATGTATATTCCACCAAGGTACTCTAAAACTTACAATTAAAGTAGCACCTGTAGTCTTAAGCTGAATCTAAAGTGAATTTTTCTTGATAAAGTTTTGGGAGTACCCAGACAGGTATTCGAAGAATAGGTATTTTATATTTCCTTGGGGCATCATTAATTTCAGGCACGGCGCTGTGGGCATTTCGTTGTGCCTATATATAAACATTTCAAATCACAATGCGTACACCCGTGGACCCTGGGTTACTCATTACAATTCGGTCTTGGTAAATAGGTCGCATCATCGGACAGGAGAGTACCTGCCATCTTCCACTTGAGACTCGCAAAGGCCACACTTCTGATGTCTAAATGTACCCATAGAGCTTCGCTATTACTTGGAATAAAACAGCCATGCCCACATCAATACAAAGACATATAGGTAGACTTTAGGAGAACTCCATGGACGACAGAATGGTAAGGGGGGGGGGGGGGGGGGGGGGAAGGAGGG